ATTAGTGCCTCACAGAACCTGTACAGTATGTGTCAAATATAAAATTAAATTATTGTATCATTTGTGAAAAACATGTTAACTCCTCAATAACTACTTAAGAGTTACCTTGTCATCCCGCAGGAACTACTAGTGATGTGGGCCATTATTTTAAAGTGAAAAACATGTTAACTCCTAACTAACTACAAACGTTACCTTGTGTAAACATTGCGGGATGACAAGGTTACGCTTGTAGTTAGTTAGGAGTTAACATGTTTTTCACTTTAAAATAATGGGCCACATCACTAGTAGTTCCTGCGGGATGACAAGGTAACTCTTAAGTAGTTATTGAGGAGTTAACATGTTTTTCACAAATGATACAATAATTTAATTTTTTATTTGACACATACTGTACAGGTTCTGTGAGGCACTAATATTCTAACAAACACTGTAATCTGGAAGATGTGTTTTTGCGCTTATCGTAACATAAATGCAGCCAATTTCTTCATTAGATGCTAATTGTTTTTGACAAGTGAACATTAATGTTTATATTCATGTGCTAAAGAGAAGTCCTCCTCAGGCAGCTACTGTAACATAAAGTTATAGGTCTTTGGAGTCTGAGATATATGTGACTGACATTCAATAGAGCTCATAATAGTGAACTAATCCAATCATGAGAGTGTCAGCATCACTTCCTAATTATTTAAGATTTATTTTTAAAAACTGTCTTTATTAAGATTATTTTATGTTTAAGTTTTAAATAAACAGAGAACATGCGTCCATCCTGGCAAGAGTAGTGGTCACAATCTCAACCTAGCTAATGTATTTGGGGGGATGTATAAACTTCATAAACTGGTTTCCACAAAGAACCCATTTGAGGCACGTGCTTCTGAAATGTTATGACCATGTTAAGAGTATAAAACCCCACAATTCTTCACTTTTTAGACATGTTACTTTTGTGATTAGTAATTAATTGGTTATTATTTCTTAGTTCACAAGTAGTTCTCAATGAGGATATATTTCTTTAGTAACAATCAAATACCTACCAAGGAACTACCTTTGTACTAAATTACCTATTACTTAATGATTATTAATATTGCTTCCATATTAGTTAACTTCGGTGTTAATGCAGTACTACCTATTACTTCCTGCATAGCTTGTTAACTACTGACCATTATTTTAAAGTGTTACCATATATTCTTTTCACTTAGTACAATGGTAGCAGTTAAAGACACCTAATATAAAGTGTGATCTATTAAGTCTTACCTGTAGTATTCGCAGGACGCAGACTGTTTGATGAAGCTGAACTTGTCCTTTTTGGTCTTCATCATTGAGTACTCAGCAACTTTGGAGTTAGTTCCAGCCAACATCAGCGACATATCATTCACCACATTGCCTATTTTCAGGCCGACTTTCCAGTTGTTCTCTACAGAGGAGGAGCTGGAGCTGACCAGGGACTCGCTGGACTCATAAACGGAGCTGGATACTGACCTGCTGCACTTTTGGGTGGCCCTCCAATCAACCACAGACACCGGGAGCTTCTGCTTTTTGTTCTGCATGAATGGGTTTTTGCACAGGTTACACGTGTTGTTCTTGAGCTCCCACTTACTCATGTCGATGACAAAAGTCCCCAGGCGTTCCATCTTAGTAATGTCGAAACCCTCTCCAGCCAAATCAGATCCTGGTGCAAAATCGGCATCTTGACACTCTGCTTCTTTACCCAGAAAGCACGCTGGGCTGGTTGGAGGAGGAAGGTGCAGAAGAAGCCCAGACCACAGGATAGCTAGAGGAATCATTGCGAATTTGGGTGTGTGATGTTATCCTGTTGTGATATAGATAAATAAAAAATGAGGTTTAAAAAAAAAATCACTGATTGTTATGAACAATATTAATATTGTTAACCTGTCATCTGCAAGGTTTTTAAAATCAAATTTAAGAGATCACATATATATATATATATATATATATATATATATACGTATATATGCAGTACGTGTACACACACACACACACACACACACACATGTTGGTTCTAAACTAAATCTTTATGTGGGATTAGTGTATTATTGACTCTTCATTATAAAAGTACTAATATAAAATAAGTTTTCTGTTTATAAATTATAATTAAACATTTTATCGACATTTAAGATTTTAGCATTTGATTTTTTTTTTTTTATGATATTGTTACCTTGCAGAATCATATGGATGATGGATGGATATTATTGAGCATCAGCTTTCCACTTAAAATTCTAAAAAACTATGGAACACAATCAAGGCTGTTAGTAATTAGTATTTTTTTTTTTATCAATTACGCACAAAGAAATCAAAAGGACCTGATCTTTATTGAAAAGTGAAGTAACCTTAAAATTGGATCCATGACAGTCTGGTTACAGACAGGGCAGGAGTATGGATGATGCAGTATAGGAAGTATCACTTATTTAGCCTCTAAACATCTGGAGGACTTACACATACACGCCTAAATTTTATTAGCTCAGCTTTGTAAATCCTTCTATTGTTATGGTTAATAAGATGATTTCTGACTCTCAATCTATCAGTACAGGAGTCCCTCAAGTTGTGTGTGAGCTCCCCTCACACTGTACACAAATGGCTGTGTGAGCAAAAACATGAACAATTGTGAAATTTAGTTACGATACTGCTATTCTTATCTTATTATTTAAAAATAAAGACATCGCATTTTACCACACTTTTATACACCAGAAATTAACCAGTATGTTGTGACATGGAATAAACCTATAGTAATTTGACAGTTGAAATCCTGTTTTGGACGTCTTATTCAAAGGCCATGAAGATCGTGAGCAGAATAGATCGTTTTTATCTCCAGACCTTGTAAGAAAAATCTATGCTAAGGGAGACACATGCAATTCTGTATGATACAACACACCTGAACTGTTAGGTTGAAATGTTGCCATCGGGTAGGAGAAGAATGCCAAGTTGTAAATTAAAATGGTTTAAGAATATTCCTTCTGCAATATAAGTGTTTTTTTTTAGTTTATGCACTTGGATTTATGGTTATGGATTATGCCATTTGTATTTGTGATGGACTTTTGCTCCTTTCTTTCTCTCTCACAGTCTCTTTCTCTCGCTCTCTCTAATTTTTGTTTAATTTGTGTTGTGTTATTTTGTTTTTTTTACTATATGTTTTATGTGATGCAGTGTATTTTTGCGCCTGCACGTCACCTTTGGGCCAAGTGTACCTTAACCTTAACCTAACCAATAACACGGTTAGAGCTTCAAAATCATCAAAACTTTTTGGTTTTACAGGAACAGAAAAAAAAAAAATATATATATATATATATATATATTTTTTTTTTAAGTATTTATTAGTATCACAGTGAAGTGAGTTTAGGCTGTTTTTCACTTACCTTAAGGTCGTTGTAATCATCTGAGAGCGTCCCACAAGCAGATTGACACTGTATTGTGCTTATATTTATGCCAAAAAAAAAAAGATTTATAATATGTCCAATCACTGGACAGGTATGAGAACATTCACACTTAGATGGTCATTGACTCATCATGTGTGAAAAGAAACAAATGTGTGAAAGGGTGGAACATGGGTCACAAGAATGTGGTTTATTTTAAGCAAGACTTTTTACTCACAATAACCATTATCACCTTTTTAATTGCAGAAACTGAGCAGACATTCTGAATTATATGCAAAATGTAACAATCAAAGAAAGTAGGTTGATGGCTCAAAGTAGGAGGCTAAAACTATCAGTTAAAACAGCCCTTCCTGCAGGTTGAGATCTGCAATCTACAAGTTGATGCATGAGCTATATGCATACATAATGCATGTTTTTTTTTTTTTTTACCATACAAGTTTAAATTAATATGAATATATATATATATATATATATATACACATGTTTGGGGATTTACTCAAAAGAGGTCTTAAACACAGGCCCAGATGCAGACAAATATGTTTGTAAAATAAAAGAATGTATACTCTGATAAATAAGCTCATCCTATGACTGTGGTCTGCATGGTTTGGCATCATGACTCATAGAAAGAACAGCTTTTCATCTAGTGGTTGGAAATTTTAGATTCTGGTTTGATGTGTGAGGTTTGTGTGTGTGTTTTGCTATTCTAAAATAGAGAGATAAGAGCACTAAAATCGGTGAACATTTTCATTAGAAGTTAAAATAACAGTAACTGTTTGCACAAACAACCTAACGCTTAAGCATGTGAAGAGCTTTATATTATTGGATATTTTATCCAATAATAAAGTTTTAAGCATACTAAAGTCAGAGAAAACAAGACAAAGGGTTTTCCTCTCAAAAAGATGCACCATAAATAAATAGTCATTTATTGAATGTCAAAATTCCATGCCCAACTTTAATAATGACAAGTGTGCTCCAGTCTGAGACAGGGGTCTGCAGAGCCCCTTACTTGTAATAATTTGCTCAACACTTGCTTTAAGTGATGGCAAGTTTGACTCATTTCTGAGAATCGTTTGTTAAAAACCATTCATTTCAAAGAACCAACCGGGGTAAAAAGAATCAACAATTATTTTATGTCACAGCATTGTTATGTCTGTGGCTGCTGGCATGGTGAAGTATAAATTTAAAGCATAAAAGCTGTAGGCCTAGGTGTTTTAATGGTAAATTAATGGTGTCTCAATTCATTTGCAGCCAGTGATTCAGCTCTTTAAAGAAGAACCTAAATATAATTTGCATACAATTAACAAAAACATGTAAATGCTAAACATATTTCCAGTAGCCTACGTTGTAAGTTTTGTTTTATTCATGCCATTTACGTTGGTGCAACACAAGCTGCGATTGTCTTTCCTCCCTTTGTTACCTCAAAGTGAAACAGGTTCTGTATAAAACATTTAGGGAGGCCGGGACTTGATTTGTCCATCGGGAATCGGATAATTTGCATCGGCTTCCAAATTCCTCAATCGTTTCCCGTGAAATTAAGGATCAGATCCTCTGTGGCCTTATCCCAAAATTCTGTGTGCTGGTAACAACATGATTTTTTGAGAGAAATTACCAAACACTGTAAATGTCTGATAATTCACTTTAATATTATCTTACATAGTATTACATTTATATAAATATTTTATATTATATTATTATTATATTTATAGTTCTACGGTGTCACTTTGTCTGTTTGGCTTTTATTTTGAAAAAGGCGCATTTTCTTCTTCTAATGTGTTTGTGACGCAAAAAACTTCCTGCCACTCTCTCCTCATAATGTGATGCTCACGTGTCGTCGGAAGAACGGTAAAACTGTTAAACATGTCGTTATTTTTCATGTTCATCCCTTTGATTCTTGTAAAGAAAGTGTTCTCATTGTGATTTTATTATTTTGTATTGTTTGTACGTGTTATTTCTAAGACCTACGAACTGTGAGAGTGTCACGAGAGCACGATAGCTGATGGTGGAAACTATTTGAATAGCGTCCTTGGATAGCGGAATGAGGTATGAAAGTGTGTCTAGTTTATTGTCATTAGAAGGGATTTTAAGGAAAAGAAATCTTACTACTTCATTTGTTTATGGTTAATTGCACATGTCGTCAATATACAAGCAATATCATCTCTGTGAGCAACCATATTGTATTTCATGTAAAAGCATGTGATATTTTGTCATAAAGGCTTAAAAACATTTCATAGTAATATTGGTTGTTAGTTAAAAATGATTTGCATTGTGTGTAAACATGATTAATATGTGAACATTATTTATGTGCAATTATTTGTGAAACTACATTGAAGCATTTTGTACTTCTGTTTATTTTGTAGTTTTCACGGTGTTCATGGTGCATGGTGCACGTTGAGAGGCATAAATAAATCGACACCCGTTTGAAACTCTCTGCGTCTTGATCAGTAAATCCAAGGGGCCGCTACAAACACTTTTAAGCAAAAGTATTGGGTTTCAACTTATATAGCCTACAAATGTAATTTTTTTTTAAATTGTATATCTTAAGATGCCAACTTTATTATACACAGAAATGGACATTTTGTGAAACCTGTTTTGTTTTCAGACAGTTTACTAAAAAAATTCCAGTGCAAATATTACTGCCAATCATGGTTCTCTCAATGGTAGCCTATTCGATATATCAGTCAAATCCTTGGTTACGTTACATTCCAAATTGACTAATTGCGAATCGGACAAGTGCTCGGTCAAATGACGGATTCAGTTCGATTGGTGAACGAATCGTTATCGTTGTCCAACCAATTCATTGACTCGTTCAGAATCGGACATCGCTCTTGATCTATGATTATTAGCCTACTGTTCTAAAATACAATGACCGAAAATAGTGATTTTTTTATGTCTTCATGCTATTTCATTCTAAGAAAATATATTTTAATGGAAAAAATTCTAAAAGACACAAAGTGAATCCATCCTGTCCTCGCACCACCCCCGGCTCTTCCTTCCAGTTGGTCCAGACTGGATTAGAGCGCTGCAGCATCAGCGGATGATGAGGAGTGAAGGCCGGGCCGCTGCGCCCCTCCACCAGCCGCATGTTTCCGCACACCGGTGTCACACAGCCCATAAGAAATGAGCCGGCGAACTAGAGGATAGTAACCTTTTTTGGGGCATAGCCACTTAACAGAAATGGATTTCCTCACCAAAGCTCACGTTTAAAACTGCTGGCTGAAATCACTGCAAGCTAGCAGCAACATCACTTGGCAGCACGGGGAGACGTGTTCCTGTGAGCTGAGCACCGCATACATTCCTCCGGTTGCTGGATGACAAACGCCAAGCCTATGGATACAGAGATTTCTAGTCGGAGTGGGGCGAAATGCAGGAATGCTTGTGCCGCTGTTTGGGAAAACCGGTTGTGAAGTTTAACCGCCGCTAAAGCGGTGACTGTGAAGCTCGTGTGTTTTTGCAGTCAGCACAATCAAGGTGACGGCAGCTAGCCCGTTAGCTCTCGAGCTATTCGGGCAGTGTATGACAGGGAACAGAAAACGCACTGAGCGCGTTTGATATCAAAATTATTGCTAAATTGAAAGAGCAAAGCACATGATACATCTGTGTGCACTTTTTATCTGCACGGTGGTGTACTTTCTTATTGGATACCACTAACGTTAGTGCTGGAGGAGAAGCTTGATATCTGGGCGGGGAGAAAAACTTAACATAGCCTATACAGTATGAGAATTTGATAATACTACACATCAAACTTCCGTGCTTTTTTATTTGTATTATTTATTTTTTATACGTAAGCCGAATATCTTAATGTTAACCCATTACATCCCGCTATATGTCATATCGATTCTGGCAGTGCACTACTGTATATTTTTATAGTGACTAACGTTACTTTACGGTTGGTGCCAAGCAATATTGTCGTATCATCACTAACGTTTTATTAAACGCATTCCGGTATTTGTTTACCGAAAATACACCTGTCTGACTTCTTTCAGGTCGAAATGTCCTGTAAATGAGACTTTTGTATCCGTTTTTTGCAAACACACAGGTCTCAGAGCGCTGGTAGCTTGGATGCCAACGCTCAGGACGGACAGATGATGATTCACTCCATGGGAATATAAGGAAGTTATAGCCTACTGAACCGAGAACACGGCTTCGCGTTCCCGATGGTGAAATTATCCAGCGGCTGTTTGATGAGCAGCAAACGAAAGCCACCTCTCCTCGGGTCGCCTCTGAAGTCGAGCTGACAGAAGCTGATGGGGTTTTGTTTGAAAGACTTGAGCAGGGTGTGACCGCACTTCGTTTAAATGTTACATGCTGCACTGTATAAATCAGCAAAGCTCACTATGAACGCAGCCTGGAATTTCTACGTCAACCCGTGTGGATGACGCCGCCGCCACCGCTCGAAAATAAACCGTCGCTAAGGCAAAAGTCTTTTTTTTTTATTCTTTCGGCTTAATAACCGGTCTGTTAGCCATGTAGCTGGCTGCACATGACCGGACTGGACTTCTCTGACTGTCTAGGGTGTCAAATCTTTTTTTAGTGTGTTGTACGTGTAAGTGTAGATGTATAGCGTAGTTATTTTAGAGTCGTCGTTGTGACTGTTCCTGGTTGCTATGGCATTTTTAAACGGTCCCAGACTGCTGGACTGGGCAAACTCTCCTCCACATTTACAGTTCAACAAATATGTCCTGACTGGTTATAGACCCATTTCTTCCGTCCAGGAGTGTATCAAGAGTCTCTTCTATCTGCACAATGAGCTGGGAAACATCTACACACATGGTGAGTGAGATATTGCCTCCGTGAGGAAGCCGACAGTAACTTAACTTGTATGAATTTCTTCTATTTTATCACAAAGGAGAACATTGTAAGCATGTCCTGAATGTTCTCTTTTTCATGCAGTGACATCTTCAGTCCTCATTCATGGTCAAGCCTGAAAAAGTGAACAAAATCAGTGTAAAAAAGTAGTCTACATGACTTGTGTGCTAAATATTTTAAAGTCTTAAGGCCAACTCTAACTTCATCATATTGTTGTACATCAGTTTACAGACATTCCACGACCCGAAAAAACATGATCCAACATGTCCAACTAACGAAAACAAGTGTAGACCAAGGCTGTGTCCAAAAATGCACCCATACCCTCATTCACTGTACTATGCATAAACTTTAATTAAACAATTTAATAATCAATAAAAAAGGATAAAAAAAATTATATCTGTATGATGTTACGGTGTAGCCACAGTGGACCAGCTGTTTGGAAAATGGATGGGTGAATGATTCAGCTGCGGGCACCATCTTCTGGCAAGACTCGGGAATTAATTCGGTGCGCTACTCTCACAGTGCATTGTGGGTATTTTCTAACCATTGAGCATTCGTTGGTTGTACACTCGTTATTACGGTGTATTGTGGGATTGAATGAGTGCACTTGATAATGTCCACTATGTATTTGGACACCAAATACAAATGGTTGTCCTGTCTCCTTAAATGGTGCCCTATTTAAAGGTAAGGGGGCTATCTCAGACATAGCCCAAGTGCGCCGCACATGTCCTGGAGAGTGATGCCAAAACATTTGGCTTGGGACATGAGCTAAACTAAAAAATACAATTACACTTGAAGTAATTATTTTCCAAAGATGTTATCTGTCATTTTAGATAGGCTAGTTCTTATTACGCAGACGCATGTTCATGTGTTAGTTTTTTCAGTAAGTTTGGTTTTAGTTAGTAAAAGTGCATCTGTAGTGTGTAATTTCATGATCTGCAGTATCGGGTGTATGGGCCGCTCCACATAAAGCCCAGGACACTCCAAGCCGACGTCAAAGAACTAGCGCAGATGAAAGCTGACTGTGTCCTCTCATTGGTTGTCTAGTCCAAAAAGCTGCTTTTGAACACCAAAAGGACTAAAGGCGACTGTCAACTTTCATGTGCTTTCTGCACCTGCGTTTACGTAAATATCGGTCTATATCAGCAGGTATCAATAGTCTGACTATTTTCATCATTCAAGAAGGAAAATACAATATAAACTGTACAAAGCAACGCTTGCTTAACATTTTGAATATTGACATTTTGAATATCTGAATTTCAGGGATATTTTGGATTAATTTTTCTACAGTGGAAGGAAATGGAGGTTTGTTCACTGTAGGGCCACTGTCTTAACCTTGACATCTTCAAACACCATTGAATGGAAAAGACAGACCAGTACATTCTTCAAAATATCTCCTTTTCTTTTCCACAAAAAAAGTCATAAGGCCAATTCACACTGCACAAACTCCAACAAACAGGTTTGTTTTGTTTCGTCGGAACAGTGTGTTGGCCCTGTCGGCATCTGTTGGTGTTGGTCAAGGTTTGTTTTTACCCGACTGAACATGTTCCATCAGCGCTAGTCCCTGTCTTTTGGGCAGTGTGAACAGTTGCTTTTCATAAGTTTATAAATCCAAAGGCCAACTGGTTTGTTAGGGTTTGTCTGTGCAGTGTGAGTTGGCCTATATGGGTTGGAACACCTTGAGAGTGAATTCACAAGTTCACACTTACCGTGTTAATTATCTGAACGTGCTCCTCCTGAACTTTGATAATAAACATCATTTAATGACACAATTTTAATTTTGGATGAAATATCCCTTTAAATGATTGAACAGCTACACCAAGAAATGCAAAGAACGGCAACTCTCCATCTGTCGTTGTGTACATCACTATATAATCTGCTGTTTGTTATAGGGATATCCCGAGTTGATCTCAAAGATCCTTTCTTTTATGAAAGATCCTTTATTTTATTTTATGCTGCTTCCATGTCACACACACATGTTCAAGCTTCTGCATTTAGCATATTTGATGCACACTTTTGTTACGAATCACATGACAGTAATTTATTTACTGTTTATTTTTATCTGCCCTAAGACTGTCTGAGACATTGCTATGGGTTGCGGACTTCACTGACATACTGGTATTCTGGTACTGTGAGCTTCATGCTTTCTAACCTTATCTCCACTTTTTTTCCTTTGTGTTGCAATTTAAGGCTGCGATATAATTCATGCGAAATTGAAGAATGAACTGATGTAATTTGGAACAAAATCAGGGTAAAATGAAATTCGTTTCATTTGTATTTGTTTCCGCAGTATTTTCAATTTTGACAATTTTCTTTCAAACCGTTGTTGTCTGTCAGTCATATAATGCAGGTTTAGGGGGTCCACGTCAAAGAGCATGCACAGAGAAGTCAAAATTAAACATGATTTAATGACTCGTAAGTGTAAGTACACATTGATGGCCTAAGACACGAAACGAGCGGTTTGTGTGAGAAAACTAACAGTATTTATATCGTTTTTACCTCTTGTTAACAGCTCCATCCAACTGATCTGAATCAGATGTCCAACTGAACCGAACTGAACCATGTCCAACGTTCCGCCGGAAGTGATATCGAGCGCATCTACGTCACTCACAGTGTTTACACAGAGATTTCGGAAGTTTTACCTTTACTGTGAAGATCTAAACATATTTAGATATACAGGAAATCGCAATGAAAGGATCTTCACAGTAAAAGGTAAAACTTCTGAAATCTCTGTGTAAACAATGAGTGACGTAGACGCGCTCGATATCACTTCCAGCGGAACATTGGACATGGTTCAGTTCGGTTCAGTTAGACATCTGATTCAGATCAGTTGGACATGGCTGTTAACAAGAGGTAAAAACGATATAAACAATGTTTGTTTTCTCGCACAAACCACTCATTTCGTGTCTTATAGGCCATCAACGCGTACTTACATTTACGAGTCATTAAATCATGTTTAATTTTGACTTCTCTGTGCATGCTCTTTGATGTGGCCCCCCTAAACCTATTATATGACTGACAGACAACAACGGTTTGACCAAAAAATGTCAAAATTGAAAATACTGTGGAAACAAAGACACCTACATCTTGGATGCCCTTCAGGTAAGCTAAAACATATCAAAAATTAATTTCAAAGTGAACTATCCCTTTATGGGGCCGTTCACATTTCACATCTTTTTGCAGAAATAAGTTCCTTATTTCAAATGTAGGTGCAAGCACATTCATAATGACTCACACGTGGTGCGATGCGCTCGTTTTTTTCAGGCTTATCAACTTTTCAAAATGTTGCAAGCGCACCACAGGTCATGTTACAAGAACCAACCAATCAGCTTCACCCTTTCCGTAACAACATTGTAATCTGTCAACATGAACGATGGGGTGCACCCAAACACTATGTTTTTTTTCTCTTCTCCGTAAATAAACCTTTTTATTAAAAGCATTTTTAGATGTTAGAAATCCATTGCTGAGACATCCTTGTCGTTGTGGAGAGTGCAGTTCATGGTTGCATAGCAACGACAGACAGGGAGTGCAAGCGCTTTGGAAAGAAGGAGACAGTGGCACAGCTGCACCTTCCTTATTTAATTTAATTTTATATTTTATTGAATTATATATTTTTTAATTTAACATGTGACTATTTTTCTTTTGACATATTTCTAACATGCAGCCAAACGTTACACTCAATAAACCTAGTCAGTTCAGATATTTCATGTGTTCTAGCTCAAACACACCTGGTGTAACTAATGAAGCACTTTAACAACACCCGTTTTACAGATTTGTGCTGTTGTGAGGGATTCTATTCAGGGGGTAATTTTGAATACTTTTGAGAATGAAGTCATTAAAAGTTGCTTTTTCAGTTGAATTTGGGGAAACCACTTGAAACGTTTGTTGTGTTGAGCTGTTTCTATTACTTTTGTTTGACTTGTTCATTGCACAAAGCTTGAAGTCTGTAAAATTTGCCAAAAAACCTAATTTGAAATGGGGGTTGAAAATTTTCTACTAAAAACTATAGATATTTACATTATATAGAAAGCACAAGTGCCGCTCAAATGCATGTACTTTTCTAGGTTAAAGTGCATGTTCTCTAACAATAGTGTCTTAGTCCAAGTGAGAGTTAAGCCAACAGAGATAACTCACTCAAAATAGAAGTGCTAGAAGGCATTGGTGCTTTTACCTGACCAGGATAAATCATTTGACATTGGGTTAAGAGAGAAAGAGAGATTCACAAATAACCAGAAGATTGTTCAAGATTGTCTTTTTCTTGTACTTTGAGTCCCTGTTATAAAGCCACTAACTGTTGCTTACTGCTAAAGAACTTTGTTTTAACGTGTAGTTTGCATTTTGGCAGCTGCTGCTAAAATTAGCACAGCAAAGCCGATGAGACCCTCATTGCGCTGGGCCGTACCCTGGGCCTCCATAAATCCATGTGTTGTTTAGGCTGCAGCGATTCAACTCAAGGGACGCGATGAAACGCTGCAGGGCCTGTCTGAGCATAATGTCCAACAACAACTTTCTCGCTCTCTTCATGGGCCTTTTAACAGGACTTTACACGTCTTCAGTACACAACGACCCTCCTGAGCCTCGTCGTCTCATTGTTTCTTTTTCTTCACTCAGGAATCCCTCTGCTCTGCTTCCTGGTGCTGCTCCCACTCAACATCCCCTGGTCGCAGATCACCGTGACGTGGCTCGGCGTGGTGCACTTCCTGGCCTGCCTGTCGCCGCAGCTGGGCTCCGTGGTCTACCACCTCTTCATGAACCATGAGGGCGGCGAGCCCGTCTATAAAACCCTGCTCACGCTAGATATGTGCGGAATCTGCATGATCAACACGCTAGGTCAGCATCTCAAACTGCAATCTCAAAAATCAATCCGAGCTCTCCATCACATTATCTCTCAGTACATCTTTTCAATTCTGTTCTCTATTTTCCTCTGCTGATTTTTTTTCCCTGACACCTCAAATTTGCTATATTTGGACAGGTTGTTCATACCTGATGAGGTCACCTGATGAACTGATGTGTCATTGGGTCATTTTAGCTGTGATTACCAAAAGCAGGCTGTGTTTCCCTCTGTGCATTCTTTGGCTGTTTTATCATTGAAAACAGTGTTACTGAACATGCTGTAACAAAGGAAATAAAGAAACAAAGAGAAAACAAAAGGAATCCATTGAAGTGCCTTACAACAAGACAATTTTCTCTGTTGTCGTGTAAAACAGCACTGAAAAGGCACTTTCACAGCACTTCAATTGTCTTTTGCTCTTGCAAATTTGAAATGCTTTTCATTAGTTTTTATAATTATCGACCATTTATTTGGGAAACAAAGGAACATTATGATATTTTATATGTATAATTTGGGGTGACTTCAGGGATGGAAATTAGCACCATGCAGCCACCAGCCAAATGCTGGTGATTTTTTGTGTTGTAAATAAGAGTGGCATGCTGTTTAACTCGAACACTTTTAGATGCACACCTTTACTGTTTATGGAATAAATTAAGTATTGTAGATCTTGAAGTATTAATTTTCACATGCATTCACACTTTGTCGGTTAAAAACAAGAAAATGGTTTTACCAGCCACTTTCTTGTTTTTAACCGACAATTGAGTGGCTGGTAGATTTTGGAATCCACCAGCCACAGTGGCAGGTGGACAAAAAAGTTAATTACCATTCCTGCGGTATATATTAGGGATCATAACTGTCCAATCCTGGAATAATGCTATTTATTTCAGTAAATATGCCATTTTTTTACAGTGTACGGTGGGAAGCAGGTGTGTTAAATACCCTTAAAATTCACCTATGCTTGAATGATGTGAACTATACAGCTGAATATTAGGCAACAAGCTTAGCTTGTCATCTTAGTAACACTTTGTTTCGGTTCACAGGAGCTCTACCCATCGTGTACAGCACTCTTCTCTGCTACCCCTTCACCCGCACAGTGGCTCTGCTGATGTACATCCTGCTATCCAGTTACGCCATCTACTGTGCCATCACAGCACGCAGCAGAGTGCGGCGTCTGCGTTCCTTCGCCTGGCAGCTGCTTTACCGCTTCTCATTTTTCCTCCTGCGCTCAGTAGGTGTGGGCGGAGGGAGTCCCACCTCACTGCGCCACTTTCTCACCATGGATGCCCTAGCAGTGTTGGGCGGTGTCATCAATATCACACGAATCCCCGAGCGGTTCCGCCCAGGCCTCTTTGACTACTGGTGCAACAGCCATCAAATCATGCATGTGCTGGTGGTAGTCTCCATACTGTACCTACACTGGGGGGTGCTGGATGACTTATTGTGGATCAACACCTATCACTGTCCCACAGACTGACAGTGGCCCCTGCTGGTCTGGAATCGTGGGTAATAGGGCGCGAGGACCTCTTTTAGGAACGAGTCGTCTGGGAATGCGACGTTATTGGGAAAAGAACGGTATGGGTTAGGGGGAGACTGTTGTGCTTTGTATATAAATGTGTGCACGGAAGTCCATAAGAAGTGTTTTACATGTTTTTAGGAGACACCAGTGCCAGCTTCGACACACATGCTTGTTTGTGCTGTCAGTAGCCAGAATGTACATATCTGTGTTTGCATAAACATTGTCTGTGCATGGCACTGTTTAGACCTACTAGCTCAAACAAAGGCAAATTTTGTTTTGGTTCGAGACCTACACATTCTATAGGCGTATACACACAAACAGGATCTGACATTTTTTGATGTCATATATTCACCAGCGTTTAAAGCATTTATTAAATAGCCTCCAAGTTTAGTTTTAGCTGAACAATAAAAGATAACATTGAGCCCTCAAATGATTGGCTCTCGAAAAGCGAGACTTAACGTATCACAACCTAAAACTCGTTGCTCAGAATAGCATGGCTTTGTGAAAACTAATCACGGTTTGTCTCTATTCTCAATTTTGCTGGTGACACAAACAAAGATCGCTGGTGTGGAAATGTATTCACCGCCAACTTTCAACTTGCTACTCTAGTGCAGACTATGCAGCATATCAGATGTTATATCAATGCTAACACTACAAACACTCAAAATGTACTGTAAGTCCGATCTCACAGCAACATTTACTGGAAATACTTGAGTTTATTTTAGCTGTTTTATCATGCTTGTGTCTTTTTTCATGCCGTCTCCCTGTTCAGGTCAATATTTTTCACATTCATGCCAGTTAACTGTAAGTGAAGGGGTCATTCCTTGGGTTGTAGCCTTTATTTATTTATTTATTTATTTATTTATTTAATTATTTATTTGCTAGTTGATTAAATTTGCTGAGTGCTCTTTTTAATTTTTGGATTGCCCTCCGTGACTTTGATTATGTTTGTTAGCATCTAAGGGGCATTTATGTAATGTCGTGTTTTTGCAGGAGCACGACGGATAACACCCTGGGAAACATTTCACGTTACCTGCAGAAGATATTTTATCTGTTGTGACACTGAGCAGTCGATTCCACCTTGTACACTTTTGGTTTTAATATCCAAGTCTGTAGTTGGGAAGATTGGATTTTGTACTGCTCTAAATTAGATTTCATTTCTTTCTGACCTTTAACCTCAATTATCCATGTAACCTTGGATTCAAGACGAGGTAAATTATTTTCTTAATGGCCTGCTGTTTGCACAAAGGCTTTAATTCTCTGCTGGCTATCCTCGACCAATGCATACCTGATGTTCCTGCTTAATCGGATGTGGAAGAGGAATATTAGGCTCCAGAATGCAGCAATATTACACATGCCGATACACTATGAATTCTCTAATGAAGACTAGGAGAATATTTGTTACTGCTCACTTGTTACTGCCAAATTAATTCGAAGGTTTATCCAAGTCTAAGTCTAATTGATTGGACATAATTTATAATAGCCCCTCTAATTTAAGATAATTTATCTACTTAAAATGCGATTTAATGTAAAAAAAAAAAAAAGATTGCACTATGGAGATGTTGACATCCATCAAACGGGTTGTGTTTTGTGACTGACTTTTTGCACATTAGAATTTGTTACGTTAGCATGCTTATGCACTACTGAGCGGAACAAACCAAGAATGACCCTTCTAAGGGCTGGTTCACACAAAATGCGTTTTAGTTGGTAAAAACAGGCTCGAGACTCGTCTTTAATAAGTTGAGCTTATTTTAACTTGAGTGCCGCGTTTTTAGAGCTTGACGTGAACGCTCTAAAACTTTTACATAGGAAAGTAATGGAAAAATGGAAAAACGCGTTCTGTGTGAATGGCCCCTATCTCTCCCAACCTCACTAGTTTTAAAGAACGGACAAACAAATGACACAACTGTGAAAACTTTGTTGACACATTCACATTGTAGCTTTCAGAATGAACATCAGTGAGGCCTGCCATAAATTTCAGTTCAATTACCTCCAATATCCGTATCACTGGAATTCTATTTATGATATTTATGATGATATTTTACTGTTTGGAAGTAGTTTTTGACGATATTTGATTTGAATGCAACTTTTTTATTTGATTATTATTAGTTGGGTATCACATATCTTTACATAACCACACTACTCTGATAGTCCTATTACAGAGGTCAGACCTATTAGTGTAGAATCGGCGCATGTTAGGTAGAATGTTGCTCAGATGTATCTGACAAACACTCTATGCCAAATTATCTGTTTTGGGGCTTAGCAGACCAGCATGGTTTTAATTACAAGCCACAAATACAGGCCAATTTGTCCCAACCCCTTTAATGCTATTATTAAATGAGAAACATTAGACTCTAAAATCAAGTGGTGCATGGAAATATTAGTAAGCCAATCCCCTTTAACACTACATGCGATTTCCAAATGCTTGTGCAATGCAGTCAGTGACATATGTGCTTAATGTGCAAGTAACAGAGCTAATGCATCAAATATATCTGTCTATAGAAAGGGAATGAAATCAAGAGAGCAGCCCAGTGGCAATACAACCATATCAAGTAGTTAACTGCACTGATGATTTTTATTTTATTTTATTTTTTACCAAAAGGGCTTTGGATCAAAGTGAAAACCAATTAAGAACTTAAGAGTCCATATGGGTAATGTAAATACCTGTATGTAGACTATATGCATAAAATGCAAGTGACATACTTACTGACATTTTTATATATTCATATTAATATTTAAAGCAACAATGTTGGAAGAAAATGTATTGTATTGAATGTTAATGTATTTCATCTCAATGACAGGCCTGGCGGCAGAGCTGAGAATGCGGTTACATTGTTTAGTATAGGGTTAATGTCATAATAATATGTCTGTGCTACTATGATGTCATAATGTCATTAACACGGTCTTTGGTTTTTAAACAGTTAAGAAGGGATTTTATTATAATTTGGTTGGCAAAATCTCTTTTTTACATTGTGAAAATAGGGGAGAGGCTACAATACAGATTTTTTTGGTTTGAAAAAATGGGGGTCCTGATATGTTATTACCTCTGAAACCCACTGGATAACTATGCATAATCAAAATGTGTACATATATACACAAACATGTTTGTACATGTGAATTCCAAAAATCAGATGTTTTGCCAGTTTTACCAGTCCTGAAAAGAGACAGATTTGTTTTGCTCAGACCATGCCATCCTGGGGTTTCCTCTTCTCAGGGTGCCCTGTCAGTGCTCACTTGTACTGAGTGACCTCAACAACTGATTTCGGGCCAGTTTTCCTTTCATCCTGTCATGTCTTTGCCTGTTCTGGTTAAGATTTGAAATTGAAAAAAAAAAAAAAATGATGATGAGAGTTCTATGTTTTTAAGGGCAAAGATCGTGATGGCTTGTCAGTCATCAAGCTTTTGGACCATGCATCATTCTTGATGCATATTGCCTTTGTGGGACCGAATGTGTCCATAAATGCTGATCAAGAATGTGTTTATTTATATAGTGATGTGAGAATGTGCAGAGCATGTTACATTGAAGCCCTAAAGCAAATGGATTGCATCATTAACTCATGTTTTAGAGGAGGAACAAGGATGATATTCTCAAGGATGATGTTTTCCTGTCTGTATATTCTAAATGTCCTGTGGTAAAAAAAATAATGACATGATGTATGAAACTATAATAACATTTTTTTTTCTTAGTATGCAGGTGCTGGATAGCCTGTTAATGATAATTAAAAAAAAACTACTCAGTTACATATCGCATTATTATGATATTATTCTGAGATGGATTACCACTATCAATGATAATCTTAATTTAAGTACAAAGGCTGAGAATACTAATGCACATGGGATGACAGGAGGTCTCTGAAAGATCTGTCGTTTTTTTTTTTTTTGTACTCTTGCTTTTGATTGTTTCTGTTTATTTTGGTTGTTGTTTGGCACCACCTGGTGGCCATAGCACTATATTGTCTTTATATGTCGGTTACAGCGTAAATTTAAATGATGTTCAGTCAAACCTTGTTGACATTCTGGATGAAGTCAGTAACGAAGGTCACTCGCTGACCCACGTTGGCCATTTATTTTTCTTTCCTGTTGGTTTATTATGCCTCCTAAACTAATTTATTGCAAAATTGACTATAACTTTGGTTTTACATCAACATTTCTTTCTTGTTGCAAATGGGTTTATCTACAAGCGTGTGTCTCTGTTGGTTTATTATATGGGCCTATTTATCTCTGTCTATTTGTATCCACGGTTACATTTGTTCACACTGACAGATCTTCCAAACCCCATGGTCTCCTGCAGCGATTGTGCAATAAATTGAGGTTTATATTTTTTAAATGGTCTCTATTGACTTTCTTAATGATTTGGAGAAGGACTGTTGATGTAAACAAGAAACTCTGCTCAATTTTGACCTCCACTTCAGGTTATTTATATAATTTGCTATGTTTTTTTCTCACAGGTGTGTGATGGTTAAAATCCCTTTTTTTAAATTTTTTTTTTATATATATATTATATTATTATGTTGCCCTCTATATAAAATCTGCCCCTAACCTGTATCTAACTTTCCCCGGGGTCAAAAATAACTATCAAATAGACGTTCACCCAAAAATGAAAATTCTGTCATCATTTATTCTCTCTCGTGTCATTCCAAACCTGTATGAGTTTCTTTCTTCTGCTGAACACAAAAGAGGATGGTTTGAAGAATACCAATAACCAAACAGTTGATGTGGCCCCATTGAAGTCCATAGTATTTATTTTATTTCCTTTCCATTCTATGAAAGTCAATAGTCAACTGTTTGGTTATTGAAATTCTTCAAAACATCCTTTTTTTTGTGTAAATGATGACAGAATTTTAATTTTTGGCTGTATTATCCCTTTAAGGGATATAGCCTAACTAGATGCATGTAGCCTAATTATAACACTACTCTTCACAATACAAGATAATGCTAAATGCTTAATAACTGTGTAAAATACACAATGCCAGTGCCAGTTTACTTTCTTGCTAAATATAAATCGTGTACAGACAGATGGAAACATTTTTTCAAGACAAAAAAAAAAAATGAATTAGGACCATGACTTCTTATTGTCAAATATTTCTGTTTATAAAAAAAAAAATTAAAAAGCCATCCACACACATATTTTAGGTTAAACGATAAAAGTCTAGCGTGCTGTGAAAACCTACCGCAATATTTATTATTTGCCATGACAAATTGTGTGGCTTATTTAACATAGTTTTATTTGTACATTGCAGAAATACTTAATTTTGAGTACAAATGTTTGTTAGGGCGTTAACTTCACTGCTGTTTTTAACTACTTTGGCGTTTAGTTGCCTATTGTTAGAAAACAAAGCTTAGGAAAATTTGAGTGTGAAACCGCAAACTTTATCTCCCGTTTGTGTTGCTATGACCACGTTAAAGTTTGAGATCAAACAGGGTTCTGCTTCATGCAACGTAAATCACTTTAAAAGGAAACATAAAGCGAGGACACCTCCCATTCTCATCTACATCTTAAACTCTCACTTCCTCCATGCTTTACAGTGAGATCTGGCCATAACTGCTGGCATTCATCCGCATCTCTCTATCTGTCAAACGAGCCCAGCGCTTCATCCTCTCGCCTCAGGAGCCAGAGTCCCTCCCAGCCACAGTTCTCAGGTACAGTGCCCCGTCCCATCATCATATGGTGTGTTGTGCTAATGTACGGTGTTTTTGGTAACCGTGCAGAACTTTGCATCTTTGCCCGCCTCTCAAAACATAGTAAGCTGATCTAGACAGCATGTTGGGCGCGCCTAGACGCTCTTATACGGCCTAAAATGTTGTTTATTTGAGACGCAGCCCTAACCTGCAGATCGTTCCTAATACATTCAATCTTTTTACTCGGTTTAGTACTGCTCCTTAATACTGTTTCAACGAGAACTTCCATTGCTAAATGTGTCTGTGCTTTTCTGAACTGTGGCAAGGTACGGTTAAACATTTGAGGAAGTTTTGTAAGAGAACTAAACAGTATTTCCAGATAAAGGTGAAGCTGATATGACCGCGTTTTTCACTCATTCTCAGTTTTTTTTTTTTTTTTTTTGCAAATATTGTTGCCTACATAAGAGTTTGCTCAATACAAGCTAGAAATAAATAGATATAGAAAACAGAAATAGAATAAAGCACTATAAAAAATATTTAAATTCATTAATATAAAATTTTTTTTTAATCCTTAAAGGGATAGTTGCCCCCGCCCCCAGTCTCAATCTGGATTATTATAGAAGTTAGTTAAATGAATGGAAACATTTGTATTTTTGAAGCAGCATGTTTGTGTGGAAGGATGTGGTGTAACTGAAGTTCTGCACATCTCCTGCGCCCCAACAGTTTCTGTGGTGTTAGTCCAGTTACAAGTTTTCTATCTCCGTCTATCTAATGCTCACTTTCTTTTGCATTTTCATTTTTCATCTTATTTCCGTGAGCATACAGGGCTTCAGTGAAGCATTGCAAATGAAAGTGACATTTGTTAGTCAACTAATTAAGAATAAATGGCCATGCACAAGACTGCATTTGATGTGATGAGAAATTAAAAAGAGCATCAAAAAGAGAGAGATATAGATAAGAAAGGTGTATACAGCAAAGTGATTATCACTAAAACCTGCAAACAACGTGGCATCAGACTTAGAGAAGTAGCATTTCCTTCTCATTTACTTCATGCTAGTTTCCTCTTTCCTTCCTCTTTCTTTCACACTGTTTTAAACATAGAAAGATGAAAATATATATACTATATAACTATTCATTTCAGGAATTTGTTCAAATTCAAGAGAATTTAGTTATTAAACCAAGAATTCAACTTGAGTGCAAACATACTGACAACAGCAAAGAGTTCAGATCACCATCAAATGCAGGAATTGTAGTTAGCCATTTTCACCACAAATTACAAATACAGAAATACCTCAAAAACAGCTTCCTTCAATGAATATATAACCATGTTGCCTTTTTTTGAGATGCACATTTTTCATCCCACAAAAAGAAAACTTGCGACTTTCAATTATGTATATGGCAGACACTTTTATCTAAAGCAACTTGCATTGCATCGAAAGCATACAATTCATCAGTTCATGCATTCTCTTGGAGTCAAGTCCACAACCATAGCATTGCTAGCATCCTGCTCTGTTGTTTGAGCTACTGGACTTTTTGAAAGTAATGATGAAAACCATCATACTTAATTTACTTTTCCAGTTGTTTCTAATATGTATTTGTTTTCTCTCTCCATCCCTGTCTCCTCCTCCTCTTTCATTCCTCAGGTCATCATGTCTAGAAAGGTGGTCAGGACCAGTAAGTTCCGCCATGTCTTTGGCCAGGCGGTGAAGGCAGACCAGTGCTATGATGACATCAGGATCTCCCAGATGACCTGGGACAGCAACTTCTGCTCCGTCAACCCCAAGTTTGTGGCCATGATTGTGGATGCCAGTGGTGGAGGAGCTTTTATTGTATTGCCCCTGAGCAAGGTGCATCCAGATTTAGCACTCATTAAGCTCAAATTAATTGCCAAATTTATTGCAGTGTTCATGTTTGTGGGCAGTGGGTATTATTGTCTTTCATTCAAGCCTTGATTATTTATATATATATATAGAGAGAGAGGGAGATGCAAATATTAAGATAAAGATAATAAGTTAGTTGGACTTGATAGTTTTAGGTCCAACTGTTGGGTAGTTTTTTTTTTAACCCATTACCTGTTTCAAATGATCTTCTGAAGTCTTTGAATTTTGAAATCTACATATGTGATGCAGTGTTTGTCTAAATAAGGAAGTTCAAGGTTGAGTTTCATATGTACGTGTCACCAGACCTAGCATCTCTTCTCTTTCTGCTTCTTTGCATCTTGTTTTTGCCATATTTGGAGTGCGCTGCTGTCAGCTCTGCACAGGATGTGGTGACAGCTTGCAGATTGAGTGGGTGACAAAAACTATGAGAAAAGGACAGCTGTCACTTAGACTTGATGTGCCTGTTTTTTGTGATCCGCTTGGTTCAAAATATGATTATGTAACTTTTACTTCATAAAGCTTTCTGATATTTTCAAAATACCTCTCATATGTGGGGGTGTCAATATGGTGGAAACTATTTTTTGTCTTCCTCTTTTTGTTGCTGTTGTAGAGTTTATTTCATATGTCATTTCTTTCTTTCTTTTTCATCTTCTCAGTCCATCATCTCTGGTCCTCTGTTTCTGCGTTACTCTTTCTGCACTCCTGGGTCTTATGCTAGAGAATGAATGGGAGATCTGTCATATTCAATCTGCTGTGCATCTTACACTCGATGCTTTGCTCAATGGCAGCCATTGTTTCCCAATGAACACGAGAATTCGAGTCAAGCCCTTTCATTTCGTTTGGGTGGCTTGAGGAAGTTTTAAAAGCTCAGTATTGAGAGTATTGAGACATGATCATCAGGTTTTACACACTTTTGAAGTTCACGCATTTCATTAAAGGGAGGGAATATGAAATTCATGGAAATCTTTTTTTTGGCTTTTTTCTCAAATTGTCATTCTGAATTTGTAATTAATATTTTGGATTAAATTAAATATTAATGTAGAACTAGTGGTTTCCATAAGTTAGTTAGTCCCTTTTAGGGAAAGATGAATTTGTTGTAATTTGAACTTAACCAGTCACTTTCTCTGACAATAATTAAATCATCTATAGTCTACTGTTATTTTAGTGTAATTCAGTAATATTAATAACATAGTATCAGGGATTTTGTATAGTAGTATAGTATTTATTAAAGAGATAGTTTGAAGTGGTGACCATAGACCTCCATTATATGACTTACAGATAGTAACGGTTTGACCTAAAAATATCAAAATTGGATCTTGGAAGCCTTTGAGGTAAGCTAAAGGCATACCACAAATTAATTTCAAAGTGAACTATCCATTAATATTTTGAATTGTCTTTTATTTTTATATGTTCACTTTTCCTTTTTCCTTTCTATTCTTTTAAATAATTCTATTTAACTTTAATTTATTTAATTTCAGTTTCGAGTTTTAATCGTTTTATTACTTATTTTCTTTCAATTAGTTGCTAAGGCAGCATTTCTAATTTTCTGTTAAGGTTTTTAAGTGTAGGTTTTTCAACTAATATTTATATTTTTACAATAACCATGCTGCTTAAGCTGCATTAAGTTCTTACATATGTTCTGCAGTCCCTGTAATAATTTATAGATTAGACTGTTCCTGTGCATGGACTTGCATACAACACTCACATTCAACAATAAGATTTTTGCAGAGTGAGTGTGCTCTCCGTGTGCACGATGGCAACTCAGGCATGTTGCTGTACTCTCTAAACGGGTTAGGCGTAATTGAAGGCATAGCTGTAAAATTGAGATCAGCTGACACAGCCCTCCTCATCTGTCTGAGATCTCTCCTGCTCTTTTTCTGCTCTGTTGGTCAAAGTTTCAAAGAGTTCATATTCTATGTTTAGTCATTTGAAGGGTCTACTTCTGTACATTTGTGTTTTCGCTACTACATACCAAGGTTTACCTTAGTAACCCATTTGTCCCTTCTGGGTCTCTGATTTGTGTTTTAGACGGGTCGCATCGACATGTCCCAGCCCACTGTCTGTGGTCACACTGGACCCGTATTGGACATTGAATTCTGCCCACATAATGACAACATCATTGCCAGTGGCTCTGAAGACTGTAGTGTCATGGTGAGTGACATGTGCCTTTAGCTTATTGGCTTGATCAAATGGCATGTATGCACCAAAACAGTCAATACTCGTACTAAAGTGAAAATGCTAATATATTCCATAATTATCCGACCAGTGCCATCCACATCTACCGATTATCATAAATATCAAATCAATTAATGAATAACAAAATGATGTATACAAAACAGCAGCTCATATTAGGCTTGCTACAATATACGGTAATACCGGTTGTGTTGGATGATGTCGGTATGAAAATATATACTGGTTTAAAGGGGGAACATTATGAAACAACAGTGCCTATATCAATCCTAATTAGTGTTTAATAATGCTCATGTTTACAGGTACTTGTCATAGACAACAAACACGTACAATCTTTTAAGTGTGTAAATTTATCATTTCATTTTAGTTTCTATTTAAAATTGCTCCATCTAGCATCCAACCAGCTGTAATGCTGGAATAACAAATTTGAATGTGGAAACCGTACTGGTGTAAAAATTATGATCTATAACTCACCCTTATTATAACGCAAGGTCAATGTTGTTATGTAATAGATCTGGGAGATTCCAGAGGGAGGTCTCATATCGCCCCTGAAGGACCCTGTTGTGAAGCTGGACGGGCACTCCAAACGTGTGGGCATCCTCAGCTGGCACCCCACTGCCCACAATGTGCTAATGAGTGCAGGTAAACCAACATCAGACATCGACCCAACAGCTAAAAGTGCATTTATATACAGTCTTGAACCACACCTATGTATGCATGGCTAAGAACATGTTCTCATTCGTGCAACATAGAGGCCACTTTTACAGTTAAAATGCAATGGTGGCGCCCTCTGCTGATTCTTCACACACGTCTTTAGGTTTATCATAAATTTGATGTTTCTATTTCTTTTTCTCTCTTTCTTTCACACCAATCTTCCTCCTTCCCCCATACTCTTGATTTACCTGTCTTTCTTTCTCTCTTGGGTTCTGTCTGCAGGCTGTGATAACGTGGTCATCCTGTGGAATGTGGCACGTGGAGAGGCAGGGTTGCGCATTGACTCAATGCACACTGATCTGATCTACAGCGCCTGCTGGAACAGAAACGGCTCTCAGATCCTTACTGCCTGCAAGGACAAGAAACTACGAGTGATCGACCCCCGCAAGGGCTCCATCATCAATGTGCGTGCATCCCTTCAATGTAAAACATGATCGAATAATGCTAACCGAAGTGAGATGTGCATTGTTTGCATGTGAATGTATTTGCATTGTTTACCATTCACATTGATTTTACTGTCACATCTAGCAAGTAGTTGTCTTGTGGTGTCTGGATGCATATTTTGCTGTACTTAAAAGTATCAGTTATAGCTGGTTGTTGGGTTTCATGTATTTTTAATGTTGATTTAAAGCATTTCATCTGTTTTTTTTTTCAATGTTAATGCAAGAATTCAGAAAACTTGAGATTGAGCCCATGATACTGAATAATTTAAAGCCACAGTAATTAACAGGAAATCTTAGTGTTCATTTAAATGTTCTAGTAACATTGGTCATTTATGAATCACAGCTCGTTTTCTGTTAGCCATTGCTGTGAATCCTTGTATCCAACTTGAAACTGTTGCGAAATCTGCATCAAAAAAAAAAATTCCTTTTGAAATGACTTCAATTTCGCCCCTTCAGAGTTCAAACAACAGTTAATGTGACTGCATTTTTGGTCTTATAATTTTTTACATCCAGTGAATGCATTTAAAGTAATTAACTAAATTAATTTAACTCAAACTATGCCTTTATTTATTAAAATTTACAGTCTGAACATGTTTATAGTGTTCTTTTATAGCTTATTATAGTGTCTCTTTCTTACACCTCCCTGTCTGCCAGCTTATTCACTGCAGCTCATACGACGTCTCTCTGTGTATGTGTGCGTTTCAGGAGAAGGACAAGCCTCACGAAGGTTCCAGGCCAATCAGAGCTGTGTTTGTTTCTGAAGGCAAGATCCTGACCACCGGTTTCAGCCGCATGAGTGAGCGGCAGGTGGCGCTGTGGGATCCTGTGAGTACATCATGTGCTTCAGAAGCTCTCTTTTTCAGTTTTACAAACAAGTGACTCACAAAAGTGTGTTGTTTGTGGTTGCAGAACAACTTGGATGAGCCCTTGACTCTGCAGGAGCTGGACACCAGCAGTGGAGTGCTCTTACCTTTCTTTGACCCTGACACTGGTGTAGTCTACCTTTGTGGCAAGGCAAGGATCTAACACAAGTTCAAGTTTTATGATCATGAAGAGTTATTTGTTCATGAAGTTGTATGTGTTACAAGTGCATGTGGTTTGACAGGGTGACAGCAGCATCAGATACTTTGAGGTGACAGACGAGGCTCCATACGTCCACTATCTCTCCATGTACAGCAGCAAAGAGAGTCAGAAGGGCATGGGCTACATGCCTAAGAGAGGCCTGGAAGTCAACAAGTGTGAGATTGCAAGGTAAACACGCCCAGCATTTCTTTCACCAATGCCCAATGTGTTGTTGCTTTGTCCCATAAACATTTAAAAAGATCAGCATTTTACATTTTTTATTATTTTATATTTATTTCAGGTTCTATAAACTTCATGAGAGAAAGTGTGAACCTATTGTTATGACTGTGCCTCGTAAGGTAAGTTAGGCTTAAATGTTGTCAAACATTTGGGGCCAATAAGATTTTTGTTCATTTGTTTGAAAGAAATAGTTTCATTCAGCAAGGATGCATTAAAGCTACACTACGTAACTTATTGAAAAAACATGTTCCAAACCATGTCTTTACTTTAACCAAATATTCTTATGATAAACCTATAATAATGATATTATGATATGTCTTAATCATTAATTTGCCTTTGCATGTGGGTAGAGTACAGCTAGAAATTTGCAAATGAACTAGAAAAATGTACTGATTATCATAAAAAATGGCTGGTCTCCAGATAATTATCGGTTGTTAAAAAAGAAAAAAAAAAAATTTTTTTAATTTATTTGTCCATCCGCTCTGTGTCCATGTGGGCACATTCGTCCATTTTTACTCAAGACGCATGCTATTCTCTTTTTTAACCGTTAGAGGGCCGAAAATGCAATGAAATGCAATATCATATACATAACTATGTTTTTAGTGGTGTATTAAGACCTTAATTAATGAACCGTTATGTTTTTACTACCTTAGAATGAGACATATCTATCTATATACACCGCGGGTCCCCGTCATCACTATGTTGTTCTCTGTGCAAAGACGCAAGCTAAAGTCAGCGAATAAAACACTGACACAATGATGAACAAATAACAATAATATTTACAATAACATATCGTTTTACTGGATAATTAGGTAGACCTAATTTCTTAATTTATCTTTGAAAAGGAGCCTCATTGATTAACTGGCTACTCTCTGCTGTCTCAGACGACATCTTTTCCTCTCTCCCGCCATAACTTTTGTTAGTTGCAATTCGCAACCTCACCACTAGATGGTGTAAAACATTACACATTGCACCTTTTAATTAATTGAAAAAGATTCAATGAATTTTGCAAAAGATTTGTGTTTCAAAAAATGCTGTTCATTTGAACTTTTTATTCCTCAAAGAATCCTGAAAAAATATATCACGGAATCCACAAAAATATTAAGCAGCACACACAACTGTTTTCAACATCGACATTTTTTTTTAGCACCAAAGCAGAATGGTTTCTGAAGGATCATGTGACTCTAAAGATCGAAAATTCAGCTTTTAAAAACAAAAAAAAAATCATATCAGCCCCAAATTTTTTAATGATGGTGTAAGAATGCCATTCCTGATTTAGTGCATCTTAATCCAACATTATCTTTTCCTTGCTTTAGTCTGACTTGTTTCAAGAGGACCTTTACCCTGACACGATTGGTCCAGAGCCATCGGTAAATGCAGATGATTGGTTTGCTGGTAAAGATGGGGAACCGATCCTGATCTCCTTGAAAGAAGGTTTTGTGGCTACCACCAAAAACAAAGAGTTCAAAGTCATCAAGAGCTTGATGGCCACAACATCCTCTTCCTCGAACAACCGACAATCTGACAGTGGGGTACGAGAACAGATAATTACCCCAGCCTTTTTAATGCATTTTATTTAACTCCAAACATAGAGGAATGTATATAAAACTGAGTTTCTATCACAAATCATCTCATTCTAGCTTTCTTTCTCTTTCACATACAGGATGTGCAGGCCTTGCAGAATGAGGTGAAGGAGCTGAGAGAGATGGTTGAGCAATTGACCAAGCGAGTGAGCGAACTGGAGAGCAATTAGCCGAAGAGAGACCCCAGTAGAATGATTTAAAAGAAATATGCAAATTGACACATAGACATATCAGAAAGATTTGTAGAATAATGTGAAACGTTTTCATTGATACCATTTTGCAGTCCATTGCAGACCAAATTTTGCTCTTCAGGGATTTTACTCTTCTTCTTTTTAAAAAAAAAATGTGATTGCATTTGTTTGAAGCCCATTATAATATATGTTTTATATGATTTAAAATAAAGGTCAGTGTTATTTTAACAAAGATTTATTTACGTGTCTTAAAGTCATTGTTCATTCTACACACACAAATGTCTTAAATCGTTCAGTTTTAATGAAAATATATGAAAGACAATGGAAATGGTTATGACCAAATACACAATACAAAAACAAACAGAGAAATTCTTAGAGAACTAACAAAAATTGTGTAGCAACTGTACAGTATTGGCAGTAGATTCCCATATACTAAAAAGTTATTGAAAAGTTTGTTATTACTCAAAAAATAGGCCAAGTGGCCTAAGCACTGTAAAGTTTACAACCGCATTTATTCAGTAACATTTTTTGAAATGCCAAGGACTGGCACAGATGCAATGACCTGAAAGTATTTTGGACACAAGCTTGGCCCATCCCTGAATTTTAATAAACAAGTGCTTAGTTTATTAGCTGCACTGAAAAATCGCAGCAGAAAATTGTAAAAGATATAAAACTAATTCATTAAAAAGCTTAACGACTGTATTTCTGTGAATACTCCTAACAAATAATATTTACATTTTTCTAGATCTTGACCTTTTTCTCATTTCCAACCAACCACTAAAGACTACTTGCTAACATTATGGGGCGCCGTTAGAATAACAGCAACATTTTGTCACATTTAGCTTCAAACTATGTTTAAAAAACTGGTATGAATTTTTTACGGTCACTTTTTATCGCATTTACATCTATATTTGTCAACTTAGAGATATTTAAAATAGTTAAATCTAAATATTACACCTAAATGTTAAATCTAAATATTAAATCTAAATGTTACACCTAAATGTTAAATCTAAATCTAGATTTTAAATCTAAATGCTAAATACATTTTAAATCTAAATGGAAATGTTAAATAGAAATGTTAACATTTAGATTGAATTATTTAAAATATCTCCAAGTTGACAAATATAGATGTAAATGCGCTAAAAATTACCGTCAAAAATTCATACCAGTTTTTTTTAAACATAGTTTGAAGCTAAATGTGACAAAATGTTGCTGTTACTTATTTTCAGTGTGAGCCAACATTGAGCATAACATTGACCCATTTTAGACTCCAGCTATAATTACTACGACTACTACTTATTAGTTTAACACATTTTTCTTTATCTACACATAATTCTTGCTTGGTGCTGAGGCGCTATTGCTGTAGTATTTGGCTGTTCCGCCCGATCCTCCAGAGCGGGGTCTGCTGAAGCAACACAGCAGGCCTCCGGCTAGCAGGAGCAAGACTCCTGCTCCCCAGCCCACGAAAATACATGCACCCAACTCTCTTTTCTGAGACTGATCGATCAGTGGATTGTTGAAATCGCGTATGATATTATTAGCCGCCCAGCTGACGGGGATGATCATCAACAAGCCCGCAATGATCAGCGCGATGGCGGACACCAGACTCACTTTGGGTTTGACGTCTTCGTTGTCAATGCAGGTGGTGAAGTCGGCTCCGGCGCACAGAATGAGCAGGGACAGGACAGCGAGCATACAGCTGATTATGGTCATGGCACGGGACGCCTGAATGTCAGAGCTCAGGATAAGCAGCGAGTCGTAGGACTTACACTGCTGCTGTCCGGTACTCTGAACCACACACTGCATCCACAAGCCCTCCTCCTGAACCTGTGAGGAGAGAAACGATGATCTTGCTGATTACAGGTTAGCCTATTCTTGGAAAATATGGTCTGAGGGAAGTAGCCTAAGTAAGTTAAAGATATCAATCTAAATTTTGTCAAATAACAAAATATGAAATATTCCTTCCCATCCACATAGGTTAATAATTTTTTCAAGAATATATATATTTTATTAATAACCGAATGTCGCTCCATAAAGTACAGTCTCCATCTCTCTGTAGAATATGCATGATAACATTATATAATCTAATAATATAATGATAAAAGTCAACATGAAATCAAAATTAACTATCTTTTTTTAATGGAATAATTCATGGAATAAAAAAAATATTTTTTAATGGAATATTTAATGATGTTTACTGGCTTGAGGGCGAGATCAACCTGTCACTCACATGACATCACAGCACTAGCAAACCACAAATCCCAATTGACTAAATAAAGTCCCGTCCTACTAAATTTTTCTTGTTCGAGAAGCTGTTTCGCTCGGATATATCATGGCACAACAATAAGGAAGAAAAGAATATCGCAACTTGTGTCATTTCAAATTTAAATAGGCTTCACGCCATGCCGCCTTCTCATACACATCAACTTCTGTTTAGCAGAGGATGGATTAGGGACCAATTCTCACTCAATCTGAGAGCTGGATCAGTCCTAGATAGACTGCCTAAGGGACTGGCACTTGACGGCCCATAAAGTCATTAAAGAAAAGGTTTAGATATTCCATGTGCCTACAGCGGCTCAATCATAAGTTTATCAAGCGACGAGACTACTTTTTGTGCGAAAAAAACATAAATAACGACTTTATTCCACTATTCCATTACTTCCTTATGGGCGCATGCGCGAGAACTGAGACGAGGACGTTCTCATTCGTCTACTTCTTGTTACCGGCTGCTCCGCTTAGGAGTTTTACTGCCACCTACCGTATAAGATGATGTGCTAATATAGCTGGAAGTGCAAAACTTTCTGTTTACAAGCAGAGGAAGATGCGCGCTGTGCACTTAAAAACCTTTAATCTTCTCAAAAAACGACCGTGTTCCTAACAATCCGGAGCACCTTATATATGGATCATCATTTTATACGGTAGGTGGCGGTAAAACTCCTAAGCGGAGCAGCCGGTAACAAAAAGTAGACGAATGAGAACGTCCTCGTCTCAGTTCTCGCGCATGCGCCCATAAGGAAGTAATGGAATAGTGGAATAAAGTCGTTATTTATGTTTTTTTCGCACAAAACGTAGTCTCGTCGCTTGATAAACTTATAATTGAGCCGCTGTAGGCACATGGAATATTTAAACCTTTTCTTTAATGACTTTATGGGCTGTCAAGAGCCAGTCCCTTAGGCAGTCTATCTATCTAGGACTGATCTAGCTCTCAGATTCAATCAAAAATATCTTTATTTGTGTTCCGAAGATGAACGAAGGTCTTACGGGGTTGGAACAGCATGGGGGTGAGTAGTTAATGACTTAATTTTCATTTTTGGGTGAACTAACCCTTTAAGAATTGGACCCTTAACAAAAGTGTTTACCAAAATTTCTATCTAGCTTTTAACTACTTTTCTTTTAAACGAAATGTTTACCTGTGCAGTGATAATATTCTGACCAATAAAGGCAGAAACCTTCCATCTTGGAACCGCAATGGTCACGACCGCAGCAATGAGACCTAAAATTCCCAGTGCCACACACACGATCTGTACAGCAGAGGAGCCCATTCTGAAAGAGTAAGGGAGATGGTGTTAAAACTGAAAGACCACCAAAAATGGCATGGCAAACGTCAGCTACAAAACCAGTAGTTTCCTGTTCACTGTTTGTATCATTCATAAGTGGTATGTTTTGTAATAATCTAGTCTAGTGCTTATTTGCACAGAAACTCAATGATTCATCCCTTTAGACATGCCCATACAAGAATTTGTATCTTAGGGCTATAGCAGGAAAAAAACATCAACGCCAAGAAAACTTGCATCATAAAGCAAAAGCCTCAAGTCTCAACAGGTTCTAACAATCTTTATCTACACTTGCATAAAGGGAACTGCCACTCCCAGAGAAGGGTCTCAGGTCTTCTTCTCGGTTCTATTCGGATGCTGGACTTTTTTTTTTTTTTTTTTACTTTTTATTGAACTGTTATTATTTCTTATTTCTGTACTCTACCCAAATGTCTGTGGCTTTTTATTCTTATCGATCTCTCTAAACTTTTCTTATATTTCCTCTGGATTTGCTCTTGACCGATTCATAAAACTACTGTTAGAATGTGTGGACTGTAGTTAAGACCCCGTAGTGCACTGTATTATCTTCCTACTCAGTACAAAGCACCATGGATTGGTGAGAAGGATGGACAGGGAAGGGGTGAACAGGTGGTGCGTGGGCACTAGCAAAATGACTAACGGTATTTGTGGCTGCTTTTAGTTTACCGTGAATCATTCAACAGCTATCTGAGCGATTAACATGCTGCCCGGCTCCTTTAAAATTGTATTCTTTCTATCTGAGCATTGATAATTCTGCTCTTAACTAAGCTAAAATCATGAATGAGTGAGGAATTTAGTTATAACAATTATAACAAAATTAATAGAAAGAGAAGTCCACAGTGAAACATTACCTGTTTCTCAATATGATGTGCTTCAAGTATGATGTTATATACAAAGACAACATGAAAATCTTTAAAGGAGCATTTCACCCATTTCAACATTAATCTTTATTGAAAGTGGATCATATATGTAGTCGAAATGTAAAATAATTTTTGAACTTAATGCCCTCTTGACTGCCAAGAAAAGAGAAAATAACTTGTCATACACTTAAAAAAAACATCTAAACATGGATAGCTGCTGGCCTTACTGAAAATACTTCATGGACATAACACAATACACAAAGGCACCACTTTATATTAAATAATTTATATAACCTTTCAAATAGGTAAAAAGTTAGAACATTACCTTTTATTGTAGCTCTTTGAAGACAATTTCTTTTCGGTTTCGTCTTTAAGTTTGTCTCCCACCTTACCAAACGGTTACCTCTAATGAAGGTGTTGGGATGTGGGGGCTTTTGTAAAGGAATGCAATGGGTGGGGTATGAGGCAGAGGCGGGTTGGTAAAGAGGAAAAGGCCAGACTGGACTTGTTCTCTTTCACTCTACTGCTTTCTTCACCCCCTTTTTTATATCACATTCCTCTGGTTTTAAATCGAGATGGTCCATGTTTGATATTTTTTTCTTCGAAAACAAAATATTCATACATACACTAATATCATACAACTGTTTTTTTTTTCCCACTGTATGTCACGTTTCCATGCAACTAAATGGAAACATGCGTTCAGGAGGGTCCAGCATCATGATACTATGAATCATAAATACTTTGAATCTTCTGTCACAATGACATCTCAAAAACAACCTCAACCTCTCCTCATCTCCTGGGCTCTGCCCAGTCAAATATAAACAAGTTAGAGTGGGTGGGATTGGCAGACACATCGTCATAACACAGCTGGGTTAGGCAAGAATGGTTTCATTAAAAAAACGATACTAATAAAAGATTGGAAAAAAGACTACGTTTAAGGGACAAAAATAGAGCCAGGAGAAAGAAAGGTATCCGAAAGATTACGACACGATACTCAGTCTCACAGTCTCTCACTTGTCTGTTTTTTTGTGAATTTAAGATTATTGCTTATGAGGCACTGACGTATAGTAATGCACTATGTGTAATTCTGATGCTGGAAAAGAAAAATATGAGGCAAATTTCAATGACACTGTTTATTTAAATTAGTTGTTTGACTTTTATTTCATCATTGCCTCTCTCTTTTTTTGTGAAAACATATTTATATTATGTTATATTAAGATATAAATTAGTATATATATATATATATATATATATATATATATATATATGTATATAACATCTTAAACCAGAATCTACATTCAAACCATGGGAAAAGTTTTTAATGTGGGTTTTATCATGTATGACGTTGCAATAATTAAAATAATTGATTGAGTGTGCAGTTGAACTCTTTACTTAGAGAGAGAGAGATTTACATACACATATATGCCTATTATAAATGTGTCTTTTGTGTGTTCACGTCATAAACTGTAAAAAAAAAAAAACAACTGTAAGAAACCACGTTGAAATAGTAGGGGTGTAACCCCATCATCCTGGCCAAATTTGCCAAATTTGGCTTCATCACTATGTCTCCTCTCCACCAGTAAGCTGGTGTGTGTTCTGGTGCAATATGGCTGCAGTTGCATAATCTAGGTGGATGCTGCACTGTTTATGCTTGGTTGCATTTAAGTGTTTTTTTTTTTTTTCACAATTATTGGGTGATTGTCATCATGTGGCAAACAAAAAGCATTCTTGAACCAGACCAACGGCTTCCTCTGTCACTTGGGCCTCCACCTGCTACTGCTATCTTAACAAGCATGTTTTAATGCAAGGAGTAAACAGGGCAAAAGATGCCATCACACGCAAGCTAACGACGGGCAACAAAAGAAAATTTTGAAACTTTTTGTCTCTCTAAATAAATTATAGACCCATCCATTGATGGATATAAATAAATTGATATCTATTTTATTCTATTTTCGAGATTAGGGAACTCATCTCTGATTGGTCTTAACCCCAGTGACCGTAGGTTTAGGGGCGGGGTTAAGGTTAGGTCTTTAGACCCCCGGTGACAGCTATGTTTAGAGGCTGGGTTAGGGGTAGGTCATCAGACTAATCAGGGATGAGTTCCCTAATGAATATTCATGAGTCTTCCCCTACCAACCTGGGGAGGGGCTCTTTTTAAAAGTTTAACTTATTTTAACTTGAGTGCCAAGTTTTAGAACGTAGTCGTGCGCGAGACGCTGCATGTACAAAAGATTTGCACGTGTTTAAATTGGAAAAACGTAATTTTCCGGGACAGGATGAGAGCTTATTAATTACGAAAACGATTATCTATTTTTGTTAATTATTATTAAGAAAAACAGTTCATTTTTCAGTAATTGTTGTTAGTTTAGTTTAGTTTTAGTCGCTCATTTATGTTGAAATCTCTATTTTATTTCAGTTTACAAAAGTGTTTTTTGACCAATAGTTTTAGTCTTGGTTTCAGTTTTTGTTGACGGAAATAAGCTGGCCTGCTGAGAATGGTGTGGAAAATTGTCTTCTCTTAATTTATGTTACTGGAAATTGTCTTCTCTGCAAAAGATCAGGAGTCAGATCAGATATCAGATTACTATACAATTTACAAGTATACCTTGTTCTTATCTATTATTTCACAATAACCAAGTGACATTACATCTTCTCTCTAATTGGGGCATTCTGCCAATTGATGGCCAACTCTCTTTCATAGGCAAAATGTAACATTTTCCAAGGCCAATCAACTCTTCTCAGAGGCAAGACCCCTTGACACAACACCTCTTGAAAATGGTCTTATTCTTTCACATCGTCTGGTGTTTACCAGAAAATCCCAGACTATATGCAAAAACTGCAGTGGTTGCACAAAATTCTCATCTTGACCTTTGTATAGGCCATAAACCTTAGAAACACATCTGGCTTTTATTGAATTCAAACTAATTCTACAATTGTTTTCTATTGACTACATTAAATATTTCAACAATAATTGCATTAATACTCAATAAAACAGCCTGAAAAAAACAATAAACCATCTTTTTGCGTGGCTATTATAAGCTGTTGTTTTCAGTAAAAATGTGAAAAATATTGTTTGCGTTTTTCATCAAAATATAGAGGAGAATCTTCTTTGTCAAACTTGATAATGTAAAATAGGTGCCCAGGCAAAACACCTTAACACATATTAACACAACTTTAAAACGTCATAACCAGAATGAAAACTAAACTGAAATTGCCGTGATTTGATTTATTTTACAGCAATCAAACAGTGCAACTTGCAAACATGAAACTAAATAAAACGCAGTTGCGGTGTTCCGTAACGTCTAATAGAGGGCGCTAGTGTGTTAGAAAAAGATCCAGAAATATGAGCAAACCTGTCATTAAAAATGTTTAATCACAGTGTGAGCGCATCGGTATAATAATTTGGTCTTGGACTATTATTTATCATAAAGCATATAGTCCCTAAACCTATAGTACATTATAAGTGCCAGCAATTTCATGTATGCACATCTCCTCACCCGCTTTCCTTTTTTCACCTCATTGACGTCATTACTTTACAACTCGGGGTGGAACTCTGGAGATGTGATGTGAGTGAACATTAGCCAATGAATGACCACACCCTCAGTTCAAATGTGATATGTAAGCCAATCACATCCTTTCATTTACAAGCGGAGGCGGGCCCTATCAGCCTCCGTTGAATTCGCTCTTCATCAACACGGTCTTTTTTTAAAGTTCCGTAGACGATGAGAGAAGGGGGGTTGTGAGGATACGGAAAATAGGGACAGTTTGAATATTTTAGATGTTCACGGGACATAAAAGTAATCAACAGAAGAGGTGAATGAGTATATCTGGGCGTTTTTTGTACCATATTAACCATTTCCTGGTGTTTAAATACGGGTAGGCAATAGCTAGCGCCATCAGGCTAACGGCGTTAGCAGCTAGCTATCAACCAAACGACAAAGGAAATATAGCCAGTAAATTCACATTTCCATAACGATATATTTTATACGCTTTGCTTTTTCGGATTGGGGCCTTATTTTTTGACCAACCACCAAGATAACAGAAAACGGAAGACTCGACCTGTTTGAATAAACCTTACAGAAATCCACTAAAATGGCGGAGCCGGACAAATTAAACATTGACTCCATAATACAGCGTCTCCTGGAAGGTGAGAAGAAATTCAAATATCTTTTTAAAAATGAACTGTTTCTCCGAAATTAAAAGTGTAAAACCATCAAATACTTGCGCATTTGTGGTTGTATTTCGTGTATGTCGTATTATAGGATAGTAGTAACTGTTAATCATATTTTGTGCTCGGAAAAAAGCCGGGGGAAGTGGAGCGAATTAGCAGTTAACGTAAGTTACCAGTCTAACGTTATACTAATTTGCTAAAACGCTGCCTGCGATTTTACAGTAGGCCACATATCATAATAATAGAACATAATGATGCTAAGTGTATGATCTTTTTTATATTCACATAATATTAAGATTAGGAGTTGAAAATGGGTCAATATTTCATTCAATGACTAACGTTACTGGTGTTCCAGTTTTTCAAGTGCTTTTCTCTCTGTGTCCAGTTGTTTACCTTCAATTTCAGCTGGGGAAGTCCTGTGTCTAATTAAAACCTGCAGCAATAGGATTACTTTAACTAATGAGGATGTAGTTAGTGGAAGTGCATTACGAAGTGATCTTCACAACAGAGGCCTTCACAATACGGCATACGTCGTGGAAAACGTGATCGCTTTCTTTTTTTTCTTAGGAGATTCTAAATTTAAGCTATTTTATTATCTGAAGAGAACATTTCTTTACAAAATTTTTAGCTATATGCATTTACACTGATTGTAAATACTTAATCCCTTACACAGAGTTTAATTCTTTTGGAATGTTGTTTGACAATTTTATGTTTATTTCAACAAAGTTGAAATATTTCAGAAAATACTTGGTTGTAATTAACTGGTGAGGTTTTAATCAAGTAAGGATCTGCTGGGTAGTAGGAACAGAATTTGTTCATTGTCTCTTGAGCTGCACCAGAAATGTCTTTAGTACGTAATGCTTACTGTTGCCTACTGAGGGTGAATATTGCGAACCACAGCACAGATGGATTTAATAAACCTAAGCAAGGAGTTTATTAGATGTCTGACTCGCATCAAGCATGTGTGTTGCAAGATGGGAATGCTTCAGGCCGTTTTGTAAACTATGTACCATCTTTCCAGCCGTTTCCACGTAGTAAAGGAAGTTAAGTAAGGTCGTCAGCTGGCCCACACAGCATCTGAGCCCCCAGAACTCCACAGAGACCACTTTAGTTTTTGTGGCATTCATAAAATTCATGCAAATCTCAGCCCCGTGTATTAATTTATGAAATATTTTTGGCTTGTTTAATTGTGCTTTCAGCTCCATTTAACAAATTTTGCCATATTTGATGAAGCCATTCCATGAAGTATAGACACCACAATTACTGATGGTGCTGGTTTGTTTGGTCTGTCTTAGCAAGAGGGATTGAACCATTTCGATTTTATTTATTTGGCGTGAAATTTAAATTCTCTTCTAGAATTTTTCATATGTAATAAAAGGAAAAGACACTGTCATACACATACATCGTACCTTTTACCTATTGGCTTTGGATTCTGTTGGCAAGCACGGCTTTGTAAACCTTGTTTTTTTCCCCTGCAAAACGCAGTTAAAAAAAATAAACAAGCCTGATAATAGTTGTATATAAATCTCCTTATGTAATCCTGCTGTCCTATTTTCCCTCAAAGCTTGATGCCTTCATCCAAAGTCCTGATTCTCATGAGGATGGCATTTCTTTTATGGCTGCTCTGCAGATTACACAGATATCGCTATTTTATAGATATTATATACTTCATATAGATATATTAATTTATTGTGCCTATAATGGTCATATACTAACTCTGATATCATATAATGTAGGAAATATTTAGTGAGTAGAGACTGAGTTACGTTTTCCTGTTCTCAACTATTTATAAAGCACTTTCAGAACCATTAGAATGGACAGCACTTTGGTCCATAAGTAGTAAATAACTCTAAAATATGTAGAAACATAAAATAACATCGAAACAATGTTATTTTATGCTGTTCTCTGGATCCAAGTTGTTGCTGTTAGGGATTTTTTTGTGGGTAGGGATAAAAGCACATTGCTCTGACATGCAGATATGGTCAGATATGCTCAACAATACACACGTATAATACAGTGAACATATCATATTGTCCTATTTACCAAAGGTTTCTTGTGTACTTGGGTTACTGTGCTTGTAGGTTGTAAATAATTACAAGAAGTTACATAACTTAATCCTCCCTTTTAATTAACCCAGCGGTGCGTCTTTTGAAAGGCGGTGCCCTTTTTAAAAAAAATCCGGATCCCAAGACTTGTTCGGTGGAATGTTCAATGATTCCAGCTTTTAAGTCTAGATCCTTTTGGTTCATGTTGTTCTGCCCAAACTACCAAAGCCTCATGGCCAACCAATGGGAAATCAGTGGTTACAGGTGGTGAATGAAACTTTTGCACATAGACTGTTGCGTTTGGTTGTATTCTAGTTGTGGTGTTTTCCCAGCATCTGCTTACATTTGTCATTCTGTTGAGGTGTCGCATAAATAAGTTGTTTATTTCTCCTCAGATTGTCCCTCTATCTTATTGCCTTCATTGGATTAAGTTTAGAGGGTATCGCCTCTGAGAACTTGCTGATACCGAGGTTAAACACATGGATGTCCGTGTGATGACCGTCTTCATCACGATTAAGCACTGGACTGTTAGCATGACTGTATTTACCCATCGTATGAGACGGCTAGATGCAAACTTGTAGTTCAATTTAATTGATTGGCTTTGTTGTTCTCTGTGATTTATTTAAAGAACTTAACACACCAACAAGCTACCGTTCAAATGTTTATTTATCAACCAAGTACACCTATTTGGTGCGTGGTTGAACTGTTCTCTGCAATACTGTTCTTCTACGTAATTATGGAATTTAGCACACCTAACTTAAAACACCTACGGTTATTGTTTGAGTGGTTTATTTGCTTGTTTGTCGTATAGGTCCACCCCCAACCTCGTGTTGGGTCTAAGCTCTATGATGCTTATTGGCCCCGTGACTAACTTTAGAGCAAGTGCTGTTAGGGCATTAGCCGTCCTTAATCTGGTTTTAAAGTGACGAGCGGCAGGGTCCTATTTATACCCACTTTTCACTGGCTGCGCTGACAGGCTTCCGGTCACTGTCCTGACCCTCAGATCACTCAAGTGCTGAAACCCTAAAGGCCTCCTTTTTTCAGACCCCACAAACTGTTATACCACGCCATTGCATTGATGGATGTTTGGTGCACATCATCTAAATTATTTTTTTTTGCTCAAAAGTCCTCTACTAAAATGAAACCTTGGTAGTTGTCAGTTGTCAGTTAAAAAAAAAAAAGTGAAGTGCTTGTTCCCTAATATGAAAGTCAGATTCAGTGTTTTATCCTTCCTTTGTTGTGTAGGGGAGAAAGTGAAATGTTGCTTCCCAGGTAACTTAGATGCAAACACGCACTGTTTGTCAAAGTAGTAGTAACCGTACAATATGCATTATCAAATTGTACACAATGAACCCAAGATAAGGTGAATATAGATTGTGTGCAAATAAATGGCACACAATGTCAAACATACTAGTTCAGTACCAAATCGAGTTAAAATAAAGGAAATGTAGTAATTTTTTTTCAATTCTTATCTTCATAATGCATACAATATTTCTGCTGTTTTAGAAGCATCGTAAACGCATTGGCCCTCATTTATCAATCTTGCGTAGAAACGGGTGTATATTTTGGTGTAAGATTATGCTTGCACTCCTTTCAACGCCTGATTTATGAAGATGTGCGTTCCTTTGAAATCCAGGTACGCAATGCCTGCCCTTGATAAATCCCGCGGCCGAAAACGATCGTCATTAGAATAACACGCCCCTAAATATTCAAGTCTCCGCTCCCCCCACGCCCTTATTTTACGCCATGGACACACGGAAGACGGCAAAGAAGAGAAACTTCTCCGACGTGGAGCCGAAATGACCTATCACAATGCATTATTTTACAGCACGTCTTTTGAAATTAGCATTCAATTTTGAATCACGTCACATGTATAATAGTGATGATAATGATGTGATGTGAAGTATTATTCATTCACATTAATAATTGCATGACAATTTGTAATAGTATTCTTCTTATTATTATGATTTGCATTAATGATGCTTATTGTTATTTAGAAGAAGGATGTCGTTATTATTATTTCTATTATTATTATCATTTAAAAGAAGAAGACTGTATTTTTTATTATTTTGTTAGTCTGAATTATTTTTTGGTCATTGAAAGCCTTTCATTAGGCTACCGAACCCAGTCCGTCCTGAAACGTCAGGGTAAAGTGGGCTCGCAACTGAAGGAATATATGCTTAGGCTACAAATCAAATGCTTTGGTAAAGTCACACAAATTAAACATTGAAGTCCACGTTACACAAAAATAAATACTGAAGTTTATAATTTCTATGTTTTTTTTTTTTTGTTTGTTTGTTTGTTTGTTTGTTTTACAGTGGGTCATAATATATCATATCTTTTAGTTTGTCAGTGCGTTTTGTGGTGTTAGGAATTTTTCTGCGCATTTCCTCACTAACTCAAAACGTGCGTACACCACCTCCTGAGCTGGTGTAGGATTCGAGCGTGCCGTACGCCAACGTCCATATTGATAAATCTCAAACTCACCGTGGTTTTGAGTGTACGCAAGGTGTACGCTGGAAATTTGGTGTACGCACTTTTGATAAATGAGGGCCATTGAATTCAGTGCCAGTGCAGTAGCATGCATATTTGAAGAATCCTGGTAAAAATAAGCTTCACACTTAAGTCTGTATGATTTAAAAACATTTTTTAAATGTCTCATGCTCACCATATATATTATTTATTTATATATTATAATAATAATTTGTCATGGCAGAGCTGAATTCAGCAGCCATTCATTATTCCAGCCTTCAGTGTCACGAATATGCTAAATAATTACGGTAATGTCAAACTGTTGTGCTACTTAATTATCATTATTTATTTTTCAGGATTCTTTGATTAATGGAAAGCTCAAAAGAACAGTTTATTTGAAATGTGAGTCTTTTATAATGTGTCTTTCCTTTAGGTTTGGCCAATTTAACATGTCCTTGCTGCATAATTAACTTCTTTAAAAAAAACATTTTGAATACAATACATGCTTGAGTGGCAGCTACTTGGTCATCATAGTTATTGATGTTGTTTAATTGAATTGTAGTTATATCATTTAAAAATGAAGTAAGTGTTGCTGTGGTATATAAATTGATTTTTGAAAATTGTGAAATTTGAGTGATATGCGCTGACATTTTAGTAATGTGACACCACATGGCATGCAGGGATTTTTCAGTTCACACTGATGTGTGCTATAGATGTCTTTTAAACAGCTGTGCCAATATGTATTCAGTGTGGGTGAACAGTCAGCCAGCCAGCTGTTTTCTCTGGAGTGTCATGTTGAATGAGACATCTTCTGTAGAGATGGGTGGATGCATAGAAGCATTTTGTCATTCACTGTAAAATTGTTTTGGCGGTAACATTGTTCAGTTTGTATGATGTGGGCATTGTGATTTCATAACATTTCAGCACTGGCTATTTGTGTCCTTGGTTAATTTGTGTAAAGCAGCATTCTTTAAACATTTATTTAGAGGTGTAGGTAGGCTGGTTGGATCAATTTTGTGATTGTGCACAAATAAGCCATCTTCCAAATCCTTGCATAACTGTCCGAATATGTGAGTCACCGGTATACGCTCTGTGTACTCCACAATATTTCTTGCCTGAAGGAAGCCATGTGAAATGTATATTTAAAACCCAACAATGGCTTGCCTACAACTGCTGGGATGCCTTTTGGCGTTTTATTTTTATGTTCTGAAGATGTATCATTTCAGGTTTTTTCCCCTTGTGACCTAGGAGATGGCTGCTTCAGCCCTGTCCAAATAGGTGGCAATATTTGTCCTCTCCAGATGCATCGTATGTGCTTTCTTTCATCTGCATCTGCCAGCTGAACTCTCTGAAACAGCGTGGCATGTTGCCAATCTAAAAGGGCATGTTTGAATAATACCACAGGTCTGCGTTGTGTGAGATGACAGTCTGTTTAGACCCTGCAAGCCTGCCGTCACAGCACTCCAGCAACTCTCTTAGGGGCTTTTTTTTTGTGTGGGGGTAGGGGGTCTGTTGACCCATGTTTTTTTTCAATATATTTATTTTTTATTTAAATCTGCAATTTTAAATCTATCTTAAATTGCACTTGATCTTTAAAGAAATATCTTTATCATGCATTGTGGTTTATAAAAGCCATACGGTTGTGGTAGTGTGGACTAAGTGAAACACTAAGGACTGCTTTAACAAACCTGGGGTTCCTAATTCAGCAGAGACGCATGATCTAGTGTTTGAGTGCACTGACGTCTGTGTGTCACTTATGTACATCCCATCATTTCAGAGAGCCTCTCTCATCCTCTAGCTCTTCCTAGTTTTTTAAAGCACTTATTTTCTGATAACAGGGTCTGGCACATTGCTTTTTGTTTGTTTTGGCCTGATTCCTACTATTCTCATTTTGTCTCTTTTGTGCTTTTTACAGTTAAAGGCTCCAGGCCAGGCAAGAACGTACAGCTGACAGAGAGTGAAATCCGTGGCCTCTGTCTCAAATCCCGAGAAATTTTCCTCAGCCAGCCGATCCTGCTGGAGCTGGAAGCACCTCTCAAGATCTGTGGTATGATTGTCCTACATGGTTCCCTCGATCATGGAAAACCATAAAGGGGTCATATGATGGTTCTAAAAAGATTTTGTGTATATGGTTTACATTATTTTGTGTATATGGTTTAATGCAATGCGGTTTTAGGTTCAGATTATTTTACACATACTATACATTATTGTTGCTTCTCTGTGCCCTGCCTTTATGAATTGGGTCGATTGATCAACTTTGGCAGTGCAACTGGACCAGAACAGATCAGATTGGTCTGGTTTTGTTTCATTGGGGACATAATTGTTTATTATAATGACTTATACTGTCTTTTTACATGTCTGCATTTGTGATCGTAGAAATGACAAACAAGTGATTCTATATTGCTCAAAACTCAAAATAGTTTATCCATATTTTTGCCAATTCTTAAAATATGAAAAAAAAAAAATAATAATAATATCAAAGGCTATGTCTGTATGTCAGAAGCGCCAAACTGTAATTGCAAAGATGGAATTGCCCCACTTTATACGGCCGGCACAGCCGGCCTTGTACTCTCCCAGGTTTCTGGAAACAGTCTGTTGTAGATTTGTTGGGACATGTTTCAATGTAGCGTTTTAGGACGGCGTGGCTGAGCCTTCACTTTTTACAAAGAATATCTTACTGGGTTTGAGACTTTGAGCTTTGTAAATCCGCAGATCTTATACATGCAAAAACAGCTACATAACACTAAAGAACAAGGAAAACAAGAAATCACATCACATGACCCCTTTAAAGGAATTCAGATCTTAATTAGTGGAAATTTATTATACTGAACATATTTTTTTTTTCCTGTTGCATGTGCAGGTGATGTTCATGGCCAGTACTATGACCTTCTTCGTCTCTTTGAGTATGGGGGTTTTCCTCCTGAAAGCAACTACTTGTTCCTGGGTGACTATGTGGATAGAGGGAAACAGTCTTTAGAGACCATTTGCCTCCTATTGGCCTACAAAGTCAAATATCCTGAAAACTTCTTCCTTCTGCGTGGCAACCACGAGTGCGCCTCTATCAACCGTATATATGGCTTCTATGATGAGTGTAGGTATCAGTATAAATTCTGAATTTGATCTCTTACAACTAGGGCTGGCGATATGACAATATTATCGTATATATCGACAACATCTTGCAAGTGTTGCGTTGGTGATTATTAACAGTTACCAGGCGATCATTGACAATTCCAATTCTTGATATTTAACCACAAGACGTGCCAAAGAATAATATGTTTGGATGCATGCCGTTTTCTTGCTGTGCATACATCAATAGCTTGCACAGAGGGCCACCTCTCATATTAGTGCACAGACAAATAAACATACTATTACTATTAAGTACAAATATGCCCGTAAACACAGTCAGTTTTGTCTTAAGTGAACTTAAAGGGTTAGTTCACCCAAAAATGAAAATTAAGTCATTAATTACTCACCCCCATGCTGTACCAACCCCGTAAGACCTTCGTTCGTCTTCGGAACACAAATGAAGATATTTTTGATTAAATTTGAGAGCTGTATAACTACCACATTGGCTCCTAAAGGACTGCCTCTTGACGGCCCAGAAAGTCAATGAAGAAAATGTTTAAATATCCCAAGTGACTACCGTGGCTCAACTATATGTTTATCAAGCGACGCTTATACTTTTTGTGCGAAAAAACAAACAAGAATAACGCGTTTATTCGACTATTTCTTTTCTTCCTTGTAGGCCAGAACGAGACTTCCTTAGATTTCCACGACGCATGCGCGAGAATTGCGATCTGAAGTAGTGTAAGGCTGGTGTGAGCAGATCGCAAATCTCGCGCATGCGTCGTGGAAATCTAAGGAAGTCTCGTTCTGGCCTACAAGGAAGAAAAGAAATAGTCGAATAAACGCGTTATTCTTGTTTGTTTTTTCGCACAAAAAGTATAAGCGTCGCTTGATAAACATATAGTTTCGCCCAGCCCTACTTACAACTTAATAAATGCTTATGATGCCTTTCCCATATACACATTTCATGATTTTGAATGCTAATATGCTATTTTTTCTATTCTCTAAGGTAAGCGACGGTATAACATTAAGCTGTGGAAGACCTTCACAGACTGTTTCAATTGTTTACCTGTGGCTGCCATTGTAGACGAGAAGATCTTCTGTTGCCATGGCGGTGAGTGCAGCCAGAGGTCTTCTGTCCCCATGGCAATTTTAATGTTCTGCTATAATTCCTGTATTGACTTTGCAATTTCCCTGGATAAGTTAAAATATAGCTGTTTATAGCCATATGGCTGGCGAACCATAAAGTTTTGTTCATTTGATTGGCACGAAATCTCAACGAGACACCAGGCGACTAACTTGGAGTCCTCATAAAAAGACAGTTTTGTGTACACTTCATTTAAGGTAGTGTGGTTTTGCAAATGACGTGGGAGTAATCTGCTCTGGAAATGAACTGTAATTGATTAGACTTTTTCTTTTGTGAGTCATCGTCATCCTCAAAATATCTGCTGTACTGTTTTAAACAAAGATCCAGATGGAGTGACCATATAAAGATATTAAAGCTGAAGTCCGTAGCTTTTTTGGGGGGTTAAAAATGATCCAAAAAAACATATTTTAGCAAATATATTACCAGCCAGTGTTCAACGCTATCTGCTTGCTGTAGCTCAATTCAAAACGGTAAGCTTATAATGTTTTTAACTCCAGTGGTACTGGTGGATTTCCGCGGGAGATTTGAGCATGTCTTAGCATCAATACGTCACATCTGTACACATAAAGGAGTCTCGGCTAGTATAAGCTTTAGAAGATTTATAGCCTTTTCTCACAGCAAATGGTCAAACTTATCAATTTGCTGGCAGATCCAGAAAGGTTCAAACGACAATCACCAGTGACAAGGGCTGAATGTTGTATGGGTTGTAAAATGCAAAAGACTTTGTTCGGACTTCAGAGTGGCTACAAACAAAAGAGACTATAACCGGAGCCATGCGAAAACAAGGATACTAATCAGAAGGACATTACATGTAGTCACTCTGCTGACGTTGTTAACATTAACAAGTTGAGAAGAAAGTATAGGCTAATTTGCATGGTTTTAAGTGATATGATAAGCGATCTTTAGATTTAATCAGCGCGATTTAATGTCAGAACCAGAACAAAATGTCAGTATCGACACTGACGAGGTGACTGACAGCTGCACGCTCTACTCAATGTGTTCATCCGCACTGCGAACTACAGCTCACGTTGATAATTTAGCCAATGAGGGCAATTGCAGATTTCTAACAGAGTTGGCGACAAAGAGGAAAAAATGCGGACTGCAGCTTTAAGATATATATATATATATATTGCTTTAAGCAGCTTAAACTTAAGGGGTTCACTAAAACTATTTATTGATGACATGAATGCATACAAGGGAGAAACTGCACAAACAACCAACATTTCCTGCACTACTAATCTACCACCACCACAGTTAAAAATGAAATAAATTCTTACTGTTTTGTGGCTGTGCCGTGCAGACTGAATTTAATTATTTAGTTATCTTTACTGACTGAGCTCAAAACAATACAGGAGATGCAGCGTGACTATTGTAGTCTGATTCGCAAAAAAAAGCTGGTCCTTTAAATTATGCTCATAAAGACCCTGGGATTTTTGTTTGAATTAGTCTGTACTGATTGAGTTCACTGAATCATCCTTACCGAATTAACATTCGACTCACTTTAAAAATTGCAATCCTTTACTTCTAGTCATGTCTTAAATTGAAAGCAAGAAATAAAAAATGTTAATATAATTTTAGAAAAATTAAGGATGTATATTTAATGTTAAAACATTTTAAAACTAAAAAAATCTTTTTGTTGGATGCATGTTAATACCTTGGTAAGATTTGGATCACCAATCGGTATTGAAGGATTCCGACATAATTTCTTCATCTTGCTTTATGCTGTTTAGAAATGCATTGTTATTCATTGTGCTGTTTTGCAGCCCTACAGTGTCTGGATGCACAAAAGAAAAAATTTCTCCCTAAAAATGCACTGTGAAATATAATTAATTGTTTTCTACTCCAGGCCTCTCTCCAGACCTGCAGTCAATGGAGCAGGTGCGACGCGTCATGCGGCCCACAGATGTGCCTGACCAGGGGCTGCTGTGTGACCTGCTTTGGGCCGACCCAGACAAAGACGTACTAGGTTGGGGAGAGAATGACCGTGGTGTGTCCTTCACCTTCGGTGCAGACGTGGTGGCCAAATTTCTTCACAAACATGACATGGACCTAATATGCAGGGCACATCAGGTTAGTATATGTTCTCCTGTTGTTGGAATCCTTTAACAAAGCCATGTAACATTAATAGACTACAAAATGTGACGTTATCATCTTGTGCAGGTGGTGGAGGATGGTTATGAGTTTTTTGCAAAGAGACAGTTAGTCACCCTGTTCTCCGCTCCCAACTACTGTGGCGAGTTTGATAACGCCGGGGCCATGATGAGTGTGGATGAGACACTCATGTGTTCCTTCCAGGTAAGAGATGAGCTGTCATTTTCCTTTCTCTCTTTTGCCTATACCTGATTACAAGGCTTTCCAGTTTCTCTGCAAATGCATAAAGTATAATTCAACTTCCTCTGTAGATTTGCATTAGTTCGTCTCCGGAACATTTGTTCTCTACGTTTACAGTGATTCTATTGTTCTGTACTAAAGCCTAGTGCACTGCACCTGCAGATGCTTTTTAAGGCATCATGGGCATAAACTAGGCAACCTAATTATACTACCATCTAAGATTGTGCATTCACATTAGCAAAATGGTGGGGAAACAAGGCACGTTTGTCTTTTTTTTTTTTTTTATCAAGTTAATTTTGTTCGTTATAATTTTGGGGGAAAATTGGTCCTTAAATCTTTCAGTTTTTCCTATGAAAATAGCTAAAGAAGCTGGGATAGTTAAACAAAAATCAATAGTTTTGTATTGCTAGTATTAAACTGCATTCAAATCAATTGTTCATCAAGTCTCTAACACACCTATGTAGAGGGTTTTGAATTAGTTAGTCTTGAGGTTCTATGGTGGTTAGGGTGGTCCTTATGTAGGTAGCTCGCTAGATTTTGAAACAGAGCTTATATGCACCAAAGCGCGCTCTCTGTGGGAGGATGTGTCTATATTTGGAAATCTGTGAGCTCTCGTGCGCCGTTGCTCACTCTCGTCCTCTTGTCTTTTTCTCAGATCCTTAAGCCAGCTGATAAGAAGCTGTACTACGGTGGAGGAGGTGGAATGGGCTCAGGACGTCCCGTCACCCCGCCACGAAATTCAGCCAAGGGTGGAAAAGCCAAGAAATAACACCAGCTGGATGATCCCTCCACCCCCAACGTCGCCTCTCCTGAAAATTCCCTGTTCTCTCCCTTCTCTTTCTCTACCTCCCTTCTTTCTTTCCATCTCCAAATGGCTATAAAGCAAAACCCAGGGTTGAAGTCCTTTTCTCTCTCTTTCTTTTGTATCATTTTTTTTTTCTTCATGTAACTTTACAAATGTGTGTTTATATACGAGACTGCGTGTGTGAGCATCGGTTATGTTTGTTAGGCTCTTTGTGTTTGTCTTTCCACCCATCCTTCCCTTCCACTGCTCATTGCCCCCATCTCTCCACCTGTCTCTGTCAGGGAGCCTCTGACGAAGTCTACATTTGAACTCCCAGCCTGGCTCTGGGAAAGATTGAGACTCAGAGAGTGGTCAAAAGGGGGCAGAGGTGCGGGTGAAGTCCCCCCTCACTGTTTATGTCCTAACACCCTCCTGCATTGTTTTAAACAGAACTTGCACATCCTGCATTAGTTAGAGAGCCAGTCTGAGTGAAATGTGATAAATGTATACACACACGCAGGGAGAATGGATGTGCAGAGAAAGTGTGAGGTAGAGAGAGACTGTCACAGGTGCATAATTTCCATTTAGAGATCCAGTGATTTAAAACAATCAATCATGTTGGAACTTTTTACTTTTTTTCTTTCTTTCTTTTTTTGTAGATGGATCACAACAAAAGCTTTGAAATTCTTTGCTTACTATGTGTGTTTTTTTTAGTGTCTTTTTTTGAAAGACAATTATCAATAAAGAGAACTTTATTTAAACATCCTGTACTATCTATCTTACTGTGTCCCATTCTCCCAAGTTATGACTCTCTTCCTCAGGTGTTGCGAATCTGTCCTGTTCTCTATTTTATTTTGTTGTATTTATTTAATTAAAGTGGATTGAATGTAGTTTTTTAGGGTTGACCAAAGGTGACATTTGCTGAGATTGTACACCAAATCTTTTTTCTGTTTTCTCCAACTTGCTTGCTGCTGCTTTCTCTGTCTGCTTCCTCTCAACAGTAAACTCTGTCTCCCTTTGCCTTCCAAATATGCTATTCTCCATTTTGCCTGTTCGATTACTCAAACATAATTAGTCTTATCTTCCTATTGGTCTGTCCTTCTCTTTCCACTTTTTGCTTGTTAGCATTATCTGGGTTTTGAAGCACTGGGTGTCGCACCGAGCTCCTGGATCTTGCTTTGCCCCTCACCTCTAGAGATCTGTTGTCCTTCTCATTCCCCTCCCTCCATTTCAAACTGTGTGTTCTGAGTTGCCAGACAGGATTTGAAGTTTGATCCATGTAAATCTCAGTGGAGTTGCTACTGTAATTAGGGTTTAAGAATTTGGTTTGCTGCAAACTCAAATCGCTGGTTCCAATAGGTGGCGCACTTCACAAAATTCTAGGTCTTCAATATGTCCAAAGGGGATAAGAATACTGCAAAGCAATACACTAGTGTCCTCTGCTGGCTCAAAGACACTGACATTAGTTTTTTTTTTTTTTTTTTAATGTCACCTGCTTTATATGTTCTGAAATGAATAGTTTTGTAGTTTAAAACAGAGTAGTAACATCTAAAATTCTTGAAATAAGCAGGTTATCTTTGGTTAAGCGTGTCGATTAAATGTCTTTTATAATATGAAAGAAATTGAAAATAAAATATAAACCGGGGTGTCCAAAAACCAGTCCTGCAGAGTTTACATTCAACTCACCTGACTGGAAGTTTCTAGTATTCATGAAGAAGGATTGGGCAATCCTGATATAAACGTACTATATGGTGGCCTAGTTCGGAAAAAAAAATGGTTAATGCTTTAGATGCTCAGAAAGGTCTTCAGGTCAAGGTGTCTCTTTCATTGCTGATGCCAATGTAAGATCTGAAAAATTAGAGTAATGAGTAATAGACAGATGCAGTTGACTGTGCTAGACACACTATTGCTTTCTTGCATCACGGAAGTGATCACATACACAGATCGCAACAGAATATGAAAAATCAATGTCATTCCACATCTGGCATCTTATGGTCAGTCTCAAATCAATTATCATAACCATAATGCAATCATAATATTGCTCTTTTCTGATAGATCTTGTATATGTTTTTTTTTTTTGTTTTTTTGGTGGGGGTTGTGCTGAGTATTTATGCCGTCAAAAAAAGAAGCAAAAAGTTGATGTATTACCTTTGGTTGATGGCCTTTTTATTATCTCCGATCTCCTACTCAAGGCTGGTAGATTGTGCACATTTTGCTTTGCAGCAACACTGAGATTAAGACTTTATTAGTGGTATACTTATTGTTGTTGTTAATATATAATTGTACTTTTATTTGTTTTACTTGACAGAGAGCAGGATATTTAGATGATGTAACTTTTTTTCTTTCTCTTATAAAGCAATCAGGGATGTTTTTCCTTAATGCAGTGTAGTACATTATTTTAACTGTACCATAGGTATAAATAAGCCAATTAGAGGTTTCGGGGGAGGGGCTTTTAAGATTTTGCTTTTTCGATGAAATTTGATTTCCAACCACAAATCCTGTTTCTCAGCTATTGGAAACAAAAATAAAACCGTGTATTTGTACTGGCTGTTTTGATATTCCTTCAATATTTTTTAATAATTGGGCATCTAAATGTGAACGATTTTCCACTTCTAAGTAAGGTGTCTTTCAGTAAATTAGACTAATTTAGTATGACAAACATCGTCTTTGGTCCTGGTTAAAACCATACAATTTATGATTTGCTTGAATACAGTATTTTTCTTCTTTCTTTTTCCTACAAAATATGTTTCACCCACAGTACTCTCACAGCTGAGAATTGTTAAGATGAAACAACAGCTAGTCTTGAAGCCTGAAACCCATGGGGACCCTTTAGGGAAAGTTTTGGAAATTTGTAGGTTATTCATATGTTGGTTTAAAGGATTAGACATCCTAATTCGCTTATTTCTATTTAGGAGATTTTTCAACTTTAAATATTTTAAACTACAACGAGCTTAAAAACAATCACAAAATATTTAAAACCAATGCGTATTGTTTCCAGACCATGTGCAACACAACAAATATTACATTTTAACAGTACAAAGAACACAGTGAGGGTAATGAATATTTAAACATCTACTGAGCAGAACCAGAAAAACCTTAATCCCATCAAACATGCATTTTGCCTTGCAAACAGTCTGCTATTAAATTGCATAACTCCATGAGGTCAACAGGACACGGTTACAGAGATGAGGCGGGGACGGAGCTACTTTCTCGTCCACTGATTAGTAGAAGCTTGTGGTATTTTCTACATCTGTACTCCTATAGGCCAATCTCGATGCCGTGTAACTTGGCTTAGCCAATAGGATATGGTGAAAATCGCCGAGAACCCGCCTACTCATCACACTAACCAATAGCAACGCGACCTCGGATGTCAAGGATTGGTTGAATTCATCTCGACTCCAGGAGGACAAGACTTCAACGTTCGAAAACAAACGCAGTACAGAAAAATTTATGTTAGAATAATTCCCGAATCATTTCAACTCAGCTGTCCATTTTTTGGTTTATGATCATATATCCGCAGTAGAAACATCAGAATCATGGAATATGGAGACAGCAGCAGCAGATGACTGCAGCACTCGTAACCAACAGGAAGAGCTAGCCTGTTAGCTTTCAGGCGAATTTCACTACGGACAAATCGACCAGAAATTTGAAGGAAAGCCCGTCAGGTAAAATACTCTGCCGTTTATTATACTACATGGATATGCTCGCGCTACTTTTAGAAATCACATATTATTCAAAGTGTGCAATATAACACGTTTAAAGGTTCACATTGGACCGTGTGGGTCTGCTTATGTTGTCCAGTGAGCTAAATGGACCGCGGTGGTTTGGGTTGAAGTCCATTTACTCGACTCCCCGACAGTGATATATGGCCCCTGTGACGATTAATAATCAGCATTTATGAATTGGAAAAATCAATTATCTCTGTACCCCCAGTGAGGTGTATTGTTTAATAACTACTAATTGGCGCGATCAAACTGGTGCTCGGTAACTGATGGGGGTGTAACCGTGAGACCACGCGAAATTTATTATTATATTTCCCATTTGTATATGGTTTTTATTTAATTTCTTTCGCCACTGTCGGCTCGGTGTGAGATTTTGCAGAGCTGGTGTTGGTGTTAACACGCATATTCCCGGTGCTTTTCTTTTCACGCTCGCGACACGTAAGTTACTACTCGAACTCGATTATACAACTCTAGTGCTGAAGTCTTTTCAGACTGAATAGCTGCTTTGTAGTGCGACTCCTGACCTGTCAGCGGAGAGAAGCTTTATATGTATGAATCTACAAGAGGGTATTTGCTTGCCTGACAGCATCAACAAAGGTTACAGTTAAATTAATGTATGTAAATAACTTGAAAATGTACAACTGAACAGTAAATGGCATCTATCAGAGCTTCGTCGAGGCCACTGCAAACTAGAGTCTCTTCCTGAGGAAATAATTATGGTATCGCTTTTGCTTTGCCAGACTGTTTGCTCTTCTGCTGTTTACACACTGTACAGATGAATTCCAGAGAGCACCATATGCTTTAAAAAAATGATGTTCTCTGAACTATTCTTTTAGTAATTGCTTGACACTACCCAGTTTTATACGTTCGGATTTGGATGTTTAATAAATTTATAATGCCTCATTTAACCAATAAATGTATCAAGATTTCTTGTTCAACAAATTTTCATTTAGTAACAACGAATTGATTTGTTATTTGCTTAATATTTGAACCATACTAGCTGTCTTTGTTGACCTTTCAAATCAAAGATATCTGACTGGGATATTATTAAGATGTTTTACGTAGACCTCAGCACCACTTGATCCATGGTGAGAATCAACAAATGTAAAAAGATGAGCTCTTAATTCACAACACAACAAGTGACGGACAACATGACAAAACAGCACAAGTTAAAAGTAGTCCGCACACAGTATGTATTAATGTGTTGCGTTGTCAGCACTGTGGGGGATTTGTACAGCAGTTATAAAAAAGAAAAAAATATATGTATTTTGAATATTTAATACATGTAGTAAGTGTTCATTATAGTGTCTCTTGGAGACTGTTCATGCTGTTTAAAATATGTCAATAGTTTAATGATGTAGGTACCACATATTCTTTTGCTATACACATTGTTCCTGACAGTTTAAAGAAAAAGTGCCATGAGGGCATGCAAACTATTCAGTATCAACGTTGTGAGGCTATTACTTTGATATTGAAGTTCATGCCAAATGGATTATGAATATTTTAAATGTTATGTTATTGACAAGAAAAATGTTATTGAAAAACTAGACTGTAAAACTGAATTTATCACAATCTAAATAAATTGCGGAGGTATACTTACTTTTGTGGAAAATACAATGGAGTCCAGAAGCTTGAGCGTGCATTAATCATTTAGGTTTGAAAGTCTGATCCAAATATGGAAAAACGAAGCTTTGCGGAGAAAAACAAAACAAGTTGATATAAAATTAATTGGAGATATTTCAGATTCTGTTTCTAGTTCTAGGCTTAGAACAGATGGTCAGATGTTCTTGCTTACAACATTGAAGCTCAAGATAACATTCTCAGATCATTGAACTTGATCATCGGGTTTTACATAGAACTTGAATTTGCACTACTTGAGTGCTGCTCTCATTAGGGGAAAAATGAATAATTTTTAAAATATAAATATTTTTACTAGTGGTTAACATTTGAACACCACTGTGTAAATCAATTTCTTTTACTGTAAGATGAAGGGCCTGTTTACACCTGGTATTAAGATGCGTTTTGGTTGATTGGATTACAAGTAGATGAGGGAGACACATTCCCATTTACAATTGGTGTTTTGATCTGTCTATTTTGTCCACTTTTAATCTCTTCTGTCCTGATTTCTTTGAGGGGTGGGTTTATCGCCGGGTAAATGTATGGGCTTTTTCAGATCTTTCTAGTGGATGAAATAAGCTCACACAATTTGCATATGAATGTTACTGGAGAAGATGATGGAAAAACATATGGTTTACAGCTTTCGTTTCTGCTCTGACGGCCGCAAGACCAGCCGAACACGGTGAGAGCGTGTTAGAAATTAGAAATGGTGAGGGAACATTGTGCTTTGTACGATTTTCATCTTCAAACCAAACTTTGGTCTTGTCTAGCTAGTGTGCATTAGGTCAGTCGGTGGTCTTTTGTGGTTGTTGGTCAAACACATTCAACCACATGAGCGTCTACACTACGAAATTAATCTGGGCAAATGTGTTCGTCTACCTCTGGAAATAGATGAAAGTGGACAAGCTCAAAACGTTTTAGACCCCATTTACACCTGTATTTTGCATTGTCTGTGATCCGATGGACCAAAATGCATTATACCAGTTATAAACAGGGCCTGAGAGGATAAATTATGGTGGCTCCCTTTCTTTTCCATACATTATGCTTGTGTTTAATGACCTGCAGCTGTTTGAATGTGAATCTCACCGGCTTCATTTTGTTCCAGCATGTTGATGGTGGGCTACCATGGAGGGATCTTATAGAATGAGTGTGAGAGAGCTTTGTGAGACAGATGATCTGGCCACGAGTCTGGTGCTGGATCCCTTACTGGGGTTCAGCACCCATAAGATGAACATAAGGTACTTATTTTGGACTCTTTTGCGCTGCTGCTATAAATAAATATAGGCTTCTATGGACAGATTTTATGCACAGTAGCCTATTTAAAGAAATATTTTTGTTATTCTTCTGATAGTATTTTTATATACAGATGAATTATAAAACCTGAACTATGTTTTGTTCTTGTTTGTTTATCATAGTAATTTACAACATATGCTGCGTCCCAATTTGCATACTGTCCTTCCTAAATGGGATTTGAAATTAGAATTGGTGTGTCCCAAATTATATTATGTTGAAATGAGTATACCAAAGATACCCAGAAGTGCACATTCATGCACGTTCTACAGCTAAAATTGCTTACAGGATGTGCGAGATCGATGAACGGTTAAGTAGATGAAGTTTAGATAAAGGTGTTTTTAGTCGGTAATAATCAATATCTAACCTGAAGAAAAGATATTTGTTCATGTTATCCACAGTATATTTCATGTAACAGCATTCTGAACTTTTATAAAGATACGTTTGGTTATTAACTGAGGAGAGTTCTCTGCATGAAAGACCCACGACTGGCAGATCAACGTGCTATTACATTTCTCTCCGATACGGTACGTTAAAGTTAATGTGGAAGGTTTTTAACTATTACAAGATGATTGACGGTGCAGTTTTAACAGTGCCAGGATGCGTTTAACTAAGCGACAGAGCAGTCCGTTGAATATGCAATTATGACAAAGTAGTTTGATTCAAATCTTGCTTACTAATCTGCTAAACACTCAAAAGTATGTAATTTTTCTTAACAAAAACAGTACATACTTTTAGGATGGTGTAATTTGGCAAATTGGGATGCAGCAATAGACTACTGTTCAAAAGTTTGGGTTTTTTCAGGTTCATGTTTTTGTAAAAAGTATCTTATGCTCACCAAAGCTGCTTTTATTTGACAACAAAAAAAAAACAAAAAAAACAACAACAGTAAAACAGAACTATTGTGAAATATTATTACTTTTTAAAATAGCTGTTATCTATTTGAATATATTTTAAAATGTAATTTACTGAATTTTCAGCATCATTACTCGTAGTGTCACATGATCCTTCAGAAATCATTGTAATATGATGATTTGCTGCTCAAGAAACATTTCTTATTATTAATATTAGACGTTTGAACTGTAGTTTATTTTCAATGATTTCTTCCGTTTAAAAATGTTTGATTTCTGTCATTTTGTGAATGTGTGAAGTCCTCCTCCTGAGATCCGGCGATGGGGCTACCTCAGAGAGACCCTTCTGCGGTTTAAACGCACACATGACTTCCAGGCCACTTTTGATGCTCTGTTGGATGGGGAATGGGTCAGTGGCTATTTCACTGGGCTGGGTTCACACCGACATGAGTTGTTAAAGCAGCATGTGAGTATAATGTTATCCAAAATGTATGAACTTTCACCTTTCCTCTTTTTGTACATGTCATCATCACCAAATAGGAATGTGTGAATCCTCAGTTTTGAATGTGTAGCTGTCTTTGTGTTTAGTGTAGTAACATTGGTTTGCATTTACTTCAACGTGTTTGTCTTTGGTGGATCACTGGATCTCTCTACACGCATTCATGTGGACTGTACTGGAGAAAACAGTTTGTGTAAGATTAACAAGGGCAGGCTAAAATTATAGATTTTTCTGTTTCAATGCAATCTTTGATTTCTTGTCTTGTTTTTCAAAGTGTAAAAATTAATAAAGTTAAATTAAATATAAATGTCTATATATGGTTTGCGTTTGGGGTCAGTTAGATTTATTTATTTATTTTATTATTTTTTTTTGAAAAAGAAAAAAATGAATACCTTTTTAAAAACTCTCGAACTATGAAAAAATCTTGTTGATCCCAAATGTTTGAATGATAGTGTAAATATACAGAATTAAATCCCAAATGATTCCGAAACTTAGAGCTGGGTGATATTATTATCATTTAATTAAAATTAAAATAAAAAAACCCCCCTAGGTTTTAAATCTACCAACTCGATTTTTAAATCAAATAGATTTTTTTTCTCAGACCTACCGAAACTGAAATCAATTCTAGAACTTTCTTGGGAATCTACACTGTCTGAATCTACACTTTGACCTAAGATAGAAAACAGAAATGTTTCCTACTACGTGCTCTACCATAATTGGCTTTATGCACAACTGCACTACTTTCTGAACTTAAGCCAGCTCCTTTGTTTCCTGTCTGCCATTATTGGCCAAGCTTGATTAATTCAGGTGTGTCTGATTATTGTTGCCGTGACTACTGAGGTCAGGCACACCTGAACTAATCAATTTGTCCAATAATGGCAGACAGGAAACAAAGGAGCTGGCTTAAGTTCAGGAAGTAGTGCAGCTGTGCATAAAGCCAATTTGACTCTGAATTTGAATCTCAGTCTGAACGCTCTGTGTGGTGTTGTCTGTGAGGGCTTGGCTTTTGTAATACAAGTCATTTAAATTTGGTCTGATTAAAGACAAGCACAGTGTATAGCAGTAGATTTATTCAAATTCTTGAATATTGAATATTGCTGTGTTCTTAAAAAAAAAACTTTAATTCATCTCTTTTCTTTAGATGTATCGCTATATGACAGCATTTCTGTTGGACAACGGAGTGAACATTGAGCCGTGTACCCGCTATTCCTCTGAGACAAACGGAGCCAAAATCACATCCACCCGACACTGGTTAGCTTTTATTTATTTTTTTATCATAAACTAATTATAATGATTTAATAATTAATCAATCATTATTTTCATTTTGATCACTGTAAAGTGGCTTTGAAACTATCTGCAGTGTATAAAGCGCTAAATGTAATGATAACATTGGTCTACATTTTTTTAATTTATTGACCACCATATTTGAGGATGTGATGTTGAATTTTCTAGGTTTGTGGGAGAACGGGTGGAGGTACTGCAGGGCTGTATAGCTGAGCTGAGCCCTGAGGATAGTGCTGTGCTCAGAGCAGGAGTGAATGACTTCAGTGTCATGTACTCGACTCGCAAGAGATGTGCTCAGCTTTGGTTGGGGCCCGCTGCCTTCATTAATCATGGTGATAGAGCCTTTATACTTGTACTGATCAGTAATTTTTTTTTTTTGTTTTTTCAAAATGTGGTCTTTGGTAAGGTACAGAATCTAATTGTGTTTTTTTATTTTTTATTTTATTGCTTGGGAAAAGACTGCAGACCTAACTGTAAGGTAAGATACTAAATTATTACTTTTGATTTTGTGAGGAATCTTTTGAATTGGTTGGTTTTTGTACAGATGTTGTAGCGTAAATGTACATTTTATACAATTAATGCGTTAAACTCTTCTGTAAAGCAGGAGTCACAATAGATCTGTGCATCTGGTCTTGCAGTTGTTTTACAGTGTGTACTTTGATCTAACACCTTTAACCTTATTATTTATTATTATCAATTTAGGTAAACAAGTCAAGTATGGCCTAAATTATGAGCATTTTAAAATCACTTCTAATTTGGTCAGAAGACTTCTCTGTGGTATTTTCTAATTAAAAGTCTTACAACACCAAAAATCGAAGATTCGATAGACAGTTTTTGTAATCAATTATTTAAATAATACATGAAAATGTAAAGGTGAATAACTTCATCCTTAAAGTATAAATTACAATTATCAAATTTCGAATCAAAGCTGTAGTCATCTCTGGGCTTCTTGTCTTCCGCTTGGGGTTGTTTGTCCTCAGCTCTGGGCTTCTTGGCCTTGGGGGTACTGACGTATCAATATTCAAAGAGGCAATCAACTCTTCAGTCGTTTATACTCCTGTTGTTTACCACAGGTGTTGGGTTCTAATCTTCTTGATTGACATAAGTTGTGACTTTCCTAAAGTTTCCCAGTTCTTTCTCAAGGCCTCACATTTGCAAGCTGTCCACCTCTTTATGTCCTTGAACTCCAGTAAACTCAACCAAGATGGCTGATTTCCTTTTAAGGTTCTAGGAGTAGAATCACAGTTCTTTGTGTCCTTCTGCTCCTCACGCACACATACATAACGAACATTTACTGTACATCTATGCCAATGCAATATAAGCCATTTTTACAAACAGAAATAAATAACAACATTGAATGCAATGTATTACGTTCAAGAAATTGGCTAAATATGTTGAACATAAAGACATCTACAATAAACAAGGAGGCAGGTAATTTTTTTGATGCAATTATCCTTCATTCTCAGACATGAGTGTGGCACAAACTTTGTTCACTTCATGAAACTTAACAAATAACATGAGCCACATTTCCTCTGTTGGGCCAGTGCAAGCCAGGGCTTCAAACGGGCCTTGCTGGGCTAAAAGCCTCGTGGCCAGAAGCTCTGAAGCACTTCACTAAAACGCACCTCTCTGGAACAACGTCACGGCTATGGACATTTGTTCATTCTTAAATTGGTTTGTTACACAATCCTGTAATATTTCACCCAGTGTTGTTTTCTGGTTTCCATAACAAAAAATAATCAAATTATTATAATATAATTACATAAGAAATAATAATGTATCATCAAGGGGCAAAACGTTTGCTTGATTATCATGTAGATTAGGCCAATTTGGATCTCAAAAAGAATCCATTACTTTCAGCACCCTATAGGTCTTCCCAGTAGAACGTGCGTCTTCTCCCCCCGGCTCAGACAAAGTTTGCAGAAGCCAAACCAGGGGAACCTGTGCTGACTGACGTCTCCTGGGTCTTTCGAGCACAAGGTTATTATCTGAGGATGTGAGGGGTTTTCTTGTTCCAGCTACAAGTTTAAACACATTCCTCAGTTTGAGTTAGTCTTGACACTTCTACAGTGTTCAAACAAGGAACAAAGTTCCTTTTCTATCATAATTGTAAATGTCCAGTTTCAAACCTCTGGGTCACTTTTTCAAGCTACTCAATTTCTCATAATCATTTCTTGAGCATTAACACATTCTCAGATATCGTCATTGTATGAACTCTTTTTGTAGTAATTGATGCATAAATATATCACTCACATTATAAAATTCTTTCTCTGGTTCATTATGGTTACATTCCATGGATTCATTATAATCAAAACAATCGAGTAATTAAACCTTTGAATCCAGAGTAACCCCTCTGATGTTTTCCTGCGTTTCTGAGAACATTATACAAGTTCAAATTTATATTATATAGAAACAAATCTATTTGTTCCTATACATTAGGTTCCCATTGTCAAGTTTGTAAAACAAAATCTCTAAATGATCAATTTAAGCCTTTTATACTTTAATTTAAAATTTGTCTGTTAAAAATATGAATTTTATAAATTAATTAATCACAAGAGTTTCTTCTTCAATTGCCAAAGCATATTTTTGGCAATATGCTTTTTTTAGTTTTTATTTCCTTAATATATTATTTATATTCAAAGTCTACTGAAGCCAATGAACTCTTTAATGCATTAAGACATAAAGACTTAAAAATATTTCAAAAGCATAAACATTCTTTTCAGTAATTTCGGTGATCACTGTCTGGTGGCATCTCATACATTTTAAATCCTCAAAAAATAACCCAGTGATTAAATCATCTTGTCAGGAGTTCTCACCCTGAAGGTCTCCTGAGTCACTAAATCCCAGTCTCGTAGCCGGTACTCGTGTACTCGTGAGCCGGTACTTGGAAACCTATACATAGGAGCCAGAGAAAATGTTAGTATTAAAGAAAAACATTATACTGACTTAGAGGCGTTTGCATCTGAAGTCTTATGTATATGTGTGTGTTAAATATGATTATACAAATGTATTATTTCTTCAATTACAGTAGGGCTGCAACTAACGATTATTTTAATAATCGATTAATCTGGCAATTATTTTTCGATTAATCTGATTTTTTTTTTTTTTTTTAAAGAAAAAAAAAAAAAACAACAATTTCAAACCTTCAAGACACTCACAAGATGGATGAAAATGCTTATGCTGTAAAAGGAGGGTAGATGTGAAAACGCATGACAATTGTTTTTTTTTTTTTGTTTGTTTTGTGGCACTTAAAAGATAATTTGGCCTTAAACCTTATTTCCCTTTATAGGACCCAATGGCTCCTTGTTTGATTGATTTATTTATTAATTTTGTTTTTTGTAACCAAATTTTATTTATTAAATTTGTTTTTGTAACCAAAACCCACAACCTTACTATTATTTGAGAAGATGCTGCCAGGTAGAATTAATCCACATGCAATCACACTTTCACTAATGTATTCATTTTTTTAACCATTCTTTTAAAATGTATATTTTTTTTACATTGACTTAATTTATTTTACTTGTTTCGCGGCATGACTAAATCGATTGTAGTCAAACAGTTCATCCTGAAAAGTAATTTGCTCATAAAGTTTGTTTCTGTTCCTCCTATTAGTTTGTCCCGGGAGATAAGAATGGAGCCTGTGTAAAAGTGGTGCGGCCCATCTCTCCAGGGGAAGAGATAACCTGTTACTATGGGGACAGCTTTTTTGGGGAGAATAATGAAATGTGTGAATGTTGCACATGTGAGAGGTGAGAGTAAATCTGTTAATACTGCTTTGTGGCCATCTTTTATTGATATTATAGTGATGTTAGATCTATGATGCATAATTGTCTCAATGGACGCATGTGATTATTTGTATTAGGTGTTTAATGTCAATTAGGTTTCTAATGATAAATCCATTTAAAGCCTTTTAAATATGTTTTTATTACAAGATAAATTATCTAATGATGCCGATCTTTACAGGAGAGGAGAGGGATTGTTTAAGAAGAGAGACCAGTTTTCAGATGTGGCTTGCTCCAGGGATCCTTCTGGACAGAAATATGAGTTCAGAGAGACCGATCTGAGGCTGAACAGGAATAGGGGAAATGGCACTCCAAAGCCATTCCTCACTGTATCAAACTCGGGTATGCTTGTTATTCCATTCATGTTTTCTTTTCCTATATTATTTGTGCCCTAGTGTAAAATGTGCATGATTCTAAAATCGCAAAAGATATAATTAAGCATCCCATGCAATTGCCTAATAATGTGAAGAAGAAGCATTATTGTCAACTAATCTCACTATTATCAACCACTTAACTCTGGCTGTCTCTTCTCATCTCATTCTTTGTCAGTCTTGCCAATGAGGAATACATTTTCCCAAAGGACGAAGAGGAACGCCCTTGTTTTGAGCAAGATGAAAAAGACTGATAGGCGGAGGAGGGTGGAGCATTGCAAACAGGTGGAAAAGAGAACACAAAACCCCTTATCTTTTCCTCACCTCAAGCTAAAGGAGCTGAGCATCTGCCTCCATCAGCACAGCACAAAGTTCCTATTAAGCTGTAAGGACCCCTTGAGCAAAGAAAGGGCCCTGCTCTACCTAATTGAGAAAGAGCGACCAAATCCAGACAGGATCACAAAGAACAGAAAATCTGTTTCTCCAATACCCAGCAGGGCTAACATAAATGGACCAGAGGAGAGAAAGGGTGAGGATGGTGAAGTGTTGAATGGAGACCCTGTCATTAGATTTAAACCCTTCACTCTTGGATGTGTTTCCAGTGTACATGAAAGAAACAGTATGAAGGCCAAGGGACGTAATATTGATGCATCTTCTATCAGAATTGTCCACCAGGGCATTTCCTCAAGGACCAGGAATATTCTTCGTAATCGTTGGAGCACTCCCCGAGCAAGGACTGGATCTAAACTCTCCAGATTCAACAAGAGGAGGACCAGACTGATCAAATCAAACTCTAAAGTCTCTACAGACCGAAATGAATGCTCTGACTCTCAGAAGACAAAAGATGGGAAGCAGCAAAAAGGAAGTGAGGTTGAGTCCAAGGAGATCACTAATCCTGTTTTAATCTCTCCAGGTAAAACATGTACTGATGAAAATGTACTTCTTGATGGAGATGCTGGAGCTAACAGTGACAAATCATCACAAACAGAGAGCATGGTGATCAGAGAGGCGCAGCAGAGAGTCTTTAGGGATCGCCTGAGGGAAGTGGCTGGCGACCGTAGACACATCAGCGGTTCCATTGCTCCTAGGAAAGGTGATGTTAGTTATTGTGTAGCTTCAGAGACCTCAGGGGATAACAAGCAAAACCACAGGCAGTCTGTATCTAGTGCTGTAAGCATTACACCCTCCTTGTCTACACCATCTCTTAACAGTTCTATCTCTTTGCTCTCAGGGTTAAATCGTTACCTCAAAGTAAGTCTGGTCAGGGTGGCTATCCCAGGAAAACCAGAGGTCGAAAGTACAGGTCAGAGGGAGTTAGACAGTAGAAGAGATGAGGATAAAGCAGCAGCACCAGTACAGCAGAGCACAAAGATAAATGGGAGCAAAGAAAGCAATAGACAAGGTAAGAAAGGTGTGAAGGAGTTGTATTTCAGACCAGTAAATATGGAGAGTGCAGATAAGTACCTCAAAGTAACATGCGATTTAGAGATTGGCAAAACACAGCCTGTTGTGAAAGAACTTGTGGATATGCATGTTAAGGATAGCCATAGTGAACATGAAAATGAAGGCAAGCAAGATAATAATGTTCTAACGGTTGCATCTGTTGAGGTCATTCCAATTCCAAAAAAATCTGAAGATTCTACAAAGAAAAGGAAAGGCGTAGGCAAGGATAAGAAACAAACAAATGTTGAGGGTATACCTGAGGTACAAGAGCGAGAAAGAGTCAATAAGCCGGGAGAAGGAAATCACTTGAAAAAGAAAGTGTTAACAGTGCATTTTGGGAGCAGGACTGTTGTTGTTAAAGAGGCAAAGGTACTGCTGACGGATATTAAAAAGAGTTTGAGTGGCAAGTTTAATCAACAAGATAAATATGCTGATGACCACCAACTTCCATGCAGTTACAGTGGTAACGGAGAAGTTGATAATACGAAGACACTATCACTTGCTGACAGTAATGAGACAAAGGACAAGCATGATGCACTTAACAGAAATGAGCACACTATTCAGGGACTCACTGCAGCTGATCAGCCAAATACACTTCAGGACACTCAAGTGAGAGAGTCCGAAAACACTTTGATTTCCCCAGAGCCTCCATCCATGTTCATGGTTTGTCTGGATCATAGTTCTCAGAGCAGTATTCCCCTAAAAAAACGAGCATTTCGAGAATCACTTGATACAGACCCAGAACAAGATGTTAATGTACCTGCAAAACACTGTACAAATGTCAATAAGGACACAGAATTCAACTCGGACAATCTGTTACCTAAGCCAAGTGAAAGCAGCAGTGTGGAGACAACATTGCTGAAATGTTCATTACCAGAATCAAGTCTAACTCATAGAGGCAAAGTTGGCATTGGGTCCAAAAAGCGTGGCTCATCCAAGTTGAAACAATGCTGCAAAGCTCAGAGTGCTCAGCATGGACCGGTGAGAAACAATGTCAGAGTTTGTGAATACAGGGATAGCACAAATAAACCTGTTTGTGAGAGGACAATCAAAGACCTTAGGAGTGAAAAATCCAAAATTGAAGGAAAATTTGTTAAATGCAACATGAGAGAGGAGAACCAAACGAATAGTGTGGAAGGAATGGAAGAAAGAACTAAAGGACCAGAGGGCTGTGATATTATGGATAACATAGTAGATGCCATCAGAGATGAGTTGTCTACCTCAAATGTTTTGGATAAGACCGAAGAAGAGCAGAGGCTAAATGTCAGAATCCGGCTTAAGAGGAAAAGGGGAAAGGAGTGGGAAATGGATAGTACGGATGAAGCCGAAAGTCTTGCGGACAAATCAAGCCCACAGCAATGCTTGGCTTTAGTTGACCCTTTTAGGGCAATTTTGGATTCTGTCTCAATTTTAAATGCAGAAATGGAGAGGATTCGGGGTCATGGGGAGGCTGATAAAGGCATAGGTTTGGAGAAAGCCACCAAAGCAGTCCAAGACGTGCTAGAGCATTGCAGAAAAGAATGCGCAACTAAACCATGTAAAAGACAGCAAAAAGTATCAAAAGTTTGCATCAACAAGAAAAACGGCAAACGCGCACCAAAAGAAATTGTTCAAGACAGTGCTGAGGTTATCAATGCACAACTCCAACAAAACTCCTCTGGTCCAAAAATTGAAACTGAAATTGATGACATTAAACCTTTACCTTTGATTAGATTGTGCAGGAGAGCTGAAGGCAAGTGGGAGGTGGAGTGGAAAGAAGCTCAAAATGAAGATGGGACCATTGATACTGTGTACAGGGAGCCAAATAAGTTAACATCTGTCTCTTCTACAGCAGCAATACTGGAACAGATGCCTCTTGGCAAAGTTAAAGAGGAAAACCCATCTCCGTGCCAGCAAATAATGTCAGTGCGTAGTTGTACCAAGGGGACTGAGACCTTCAAAGATCCAGTGAGTTTTGAAACTTCACCTCTACCATTATCCCTTTCACCTTTATCACTTTACTCTCCCTGCTATGATGGGCTGACGGGAGTTAGTAATGTCAGTGGGAGTATTGAAGCAAAAGAGGATATAAGAGAGCATGTGTCGGACAATTCCAATATTAAGACTGGAGTTAGTAGGACTGAGAATAAAGGAAGGAATGACCTGTGCTTGAGTCACAATTTGTTTCAGATTAATAAAAGTCTGTCAAAACTACAGGCTCTGAGCCAGTCACAGATATGTGAGAAAAGTGTTCCCACTAACACCAGTGTAACATCCTCTCAGAATCAGTCTCCTCCCATCTCTCCCTTTTCCACAGAGTGCAGCTTTAGTAACTATTCAGAGGATGTGCTTGACTTTCCATGTTTAAATCTTGAAAGCTACGATCAGATGCCTGCACAAAACAGCTTGGCAAGCTCTTTGATAGATTACTGTCCTGGGGAACCACATAACACAGGATCCTTCAGCAGCCCCTTCTCCCAAAGTCCCTCTGATGCATGGAATACCGAGACCCCTTACCTAGGATCCCCAAGCCCAGTAAGTAACTTTAGTAGCGGCGAAGAGCTGAGCTTCCCGGATCTTGTCTTTGCTCAATCGGACACATCCTCATCTATTTGTGCGCCTCAACTACTCTTCAAAGATAAGTTATGTAATACAGCCACAAGTTCTGCTCCTCTTCAAGACCCTGAGAAAGAACTGTACTTGACCGATAGCGAGTTGTCAAAAAGTCCCATAGATCTCTTGGTGCAGGAAGATTCAGCAACACCATATCTCCCCAAAGACCTGACAATGTTTAACAATGCGTCTACAAGTGCTAAACAGCCTGTACACCCAACTGTGCGCTTGCATCCTCAGGATAAAAAGTTAAACTTTCTTGAATCCCTTGTAAACACAAAGTCCTCTCAGTCAGGCCTTGCTAAAATTGATGCTAAAGACAAAACCCATGGACCTCTCAATTTGCAAAGCTCTAATACTAAATCTGAATCCGTAATTTCAAACCAGTCATCGCAAAGCCATGGTGCTGGAACTCAGAGTAACCTTGTTACACCCTTCCATTCCCTCCACGTAGGAAATAAGTCAACCTCACCTGCAGAGTATTCAGGTGCGTTCAACTCTGGTAATGCACATTTTCGTAGCAATGACAAGAAGCTCTCTTTTTTTCCAAACCCCAAGAATGTCTCGAAAACCGAGGTAGGCCAAAATGCTTGTCAAATTTCCATGGCTGCTGGCAGCTCAAAATCTCACAACAACCTGGAAAGCATCTTTGCTTGGTCCGGTCCATCAAGTTCTCACAGTGGGAAAGAATCTTCAGCTAGATGCCCTAATGCTGGGTTTTCAAGATTTCCTGAAAATCAGCAAAAAAGCCCAAAGAACATCCTTTCCAAACAGTATCCTGCAAATTCCAGTCAGCAAGGTGATCACATTCACCCTGTTTATTTCATCAGCTCTAGCAAAACCACAACAAATGCTTTCAAGAACATTGCAGGTATGAAGCCTCCGATCTCAAGAAATGATAAAGATGCGTCCCTGCCCTCCACATATTTATTTCCCTCATCTCAAAGTTCTCAATGTTACAGTACAACACAAAGCAAACTCTCAAAATTAGAGAAACCCCATGCTGTTGTGGCTCCCACTCAAAACACTCAACTTTCTGGAGTGTCTTCTATTCAGCCTAATAAGAATCAGATGTGTCCAAACGTTTCTCATTGCGATTCTTCTGATTTCAACTTCAGCGCCTCTCTTTCACCTCCCGTGTCTCAGCACAGCAGTCCTCATCTGGGACGCAGAGAATCCTCAATCCATGAGGTCCCATTGACTAAAACTCAGTCAACCACCTTTGAACACATTCAGCCTCCTCACCAGTCTTACGTAGTGAACTTCACGGGAGATCATTCTGTGACTCTGGGCTACGGTGGCGATGGTGAAAACTTAAATTACACTGGTTCAGGACCTGCAAATTATACTTACCATTGTCTTATGGAGCCTTCAGGAACACAAGGAAAGCTGGTTGTAGAAGCGTGTGGTCCCTCAAACTTCACACCCTCTCCCTCTGTGAGTAGGTCTAAAGTCCACGGAGACCAGATTGGAAAGGTTCAGCAGCATCAAGGGCAGCCTGGAACTCACCCATATAATTCTCTACACTTCTCCACCTCCCACTCGCAAAGTACCGCCACAACGGATCGCAAGCCCAAGAGACTGAGGCTTGTGGTGACTGATGGTACAGTGGATCTGGACCTACAATATACTGATTAATAACATCCTTTTGTTGTTGATATTCTAAGAAGTTATTTATTTAAAACTTCAATGTAATAAGGTGTTCTTCTTGTTTTCATTAAACGTAAATGGATTTATGTAAATTGTCCTCTTCTTAGCATCAAAACGGACTTTTTTTCTTGAAATATTTAAAGACATATTTTTATTAGCACACTTGCTTAATTATTTGTATGCTACATTTAATGACGTTTGTTTAGTACATTATTATAGAAGATAATATTTTCATGCTAGTGGTTACTGTACGTACAAAAACAAAGGAAAATAGATATTCTTTTGATCCTGTAGTACACAAGACTTGCCACATGATGGAGATGTGGTTCTCCACCATGTGGATATTTCCTCCTAGGCTTTTCAGTTCAGAGTTGGCAATCTAGATTGCTTTTTGTTAAAAGGACATGTCCTATCAAATGTGAGGAAAAATAAGTGTGTATGTCAACTTGCATGGTTTAGTGGGTTTGCACATGAAGGACCAGAGCAAAGTTCATGTGCTTTCAGTTTTGGATTGTTTCAATGGCCATTTGACAGCTTGAATAGGAGTGTGCAGTTAATGGTGCTCAAATGACAAGCATATACTTGGAGCAGCTCTCAGGTGTCCTGTATTTGGATTCCTACATGTCATGGTAGAGAAGCTTTTACATTAAATGCTTACAAATCACACACATTTCTGGATCTTACCATCTGTGGTGTAATGACATGTAATGCGGAAAAGATGGGTTGCTATTCAAATAATTGTATGTGAATAGCATTCCCTTCTTTTCCACGCAAATCTCACATACTTTTCAAGCACAACTGTGTTTTGACGTTTGATGCTTTTCCCCCCTCTAACTCTAAACATTTGTGTATATCATCGTCATGGGTTTTTGTATCATATTGGGTAGTATTGCTTTGGTACATTGGGCAAATGCATAATTTAATAGTTACCACTTGTATTACTCTAGAGAGATGTTTAGTGTCCTTCAGAGCTGATCCTTAATCAGACTCACTTAACACTTGATAGAATATTGTTACGATACTGTACTGTAGCCCTGTAGGTCACCAAGACCCAAAACCTGACATCTCCCAACTTGTATTATTATAATTATTATTATTATTTTTATTATTATCTTTTTTTTTCCCAGTCCATGTCAGAGATGGAAGTGTTTGTTGGCTTCTTCTCAGTTATAACAGTTGCAGATATAAGAGCCCTGGGCTGTCCTACATGTTTTTGACATAGTTGTGTTAGGCCTTGCCTTTGTCTGCAAAAAGCTAGTGTATTCATTATATTTATTTTAATATGTTCTTAACATGGTGCTTCTATATAACTTAATTTTTTGATTGTACTGAACTTTGTGTATTTTACAGGGTTTTTTTTTGTTTTTTTTTAATATCTACACTTCAGATGTCTCTTTCTGGTATGTCTTATGGCCATCCTGTTTGTTACTTAGGACATTTGAGATAAATTTTAAATTGTAATGTTCCACCATAAAATTGTAAAAAAAAATGAAAGTAATGCAATTAAAATGAAATGATTTTAAAAGAAACTGCTCTTGGTATTTTAGCATAATGAAATGTAGCAACAATATTTTGTTTTTTGATTCTCTCAAGCGCGCGCTCTCTCTCTCTCTCTCTCTCTCTCTCCTACAGAACAATATGACCTTATATAGTTATAACAGGAGATTAATATGTCTGAAGAATCTATATAATGTCTTTCCTTATTTTCAGCCACACCAATGAAGTCAGCTAAGTTTTCTAAATGTTCTGAAAGGGCGCTACTAGTATATTTCTTGAAAATACTACTGGTATTTTGACAGTGTCTGGCTGAAATGCTGCAAAGACTTGATCGACTTTTCTTCGATCAACTGACTTTCTGATGTCTTTCTATCCTTCTATAAACTATTTAGTATTTACATTTTGACTTTTACCTTTTTGCCTTTCAAAAAAAAAAAAAAAACACTTATAAAATACTGCTGCTTTTATCACAGTGCTTTTGGTTCTTCCTCATCCCACAATCCTTCAAACCTTTGTCCACTTTCTTTTTGCTTCTTGCCACCGGTCCATCCCCTTTCCCCACTCATGACCCATTTTCTCTTTCCTCAACAGTCAGCAGAGGGTTAACTGAAGCCAAGTGGAACAGCTTTTTTCATAACGAGGACAGGCAGCAAGGCAGTGGATCGAGAGTGAGGCGGTAAAAAGCTGAACCTTTGAGGCACTGCGGAAAACACTGTATAATCCAAAAGCCTTACTCTAGCGCCATACATTTCTTAGTGCAGATGTAATAATGCATAAACCTCAGTCTTTAGTTGTTAAAGCTGCAGGTGAAGAAAGACTTCAACATGCAATTAATGCTGCTTCACTGCCTTCCTTATTGGCAAATATTACAGCTAGATTTGTGCAACAAAAGAGATGTACAGTAGCATCCTCCATTTTAAAGTGCTTGTGTGTGAAACAGGCACTAGCCTGCTTGATTCATATGTGCTTTCTTCTCTTTTTGAATTATTCAGTAATCCTTTCCCACACTGAGCCATCCTCCCTCCCTCCCTTCCTCCCACCTTCCTGTACACATAATGATACTAAACATTGAGTTTAGAATGGCAAAATGAACTTGAATGTTTGGGTTTGGGTTTGCACATTTAAGGACCACAGCAAAGTAAATATGCTTTTAATTTAGGATTTTTTCAATGCCCGTTTATCAAGTTGAATAGGCGTGTGCAGTTGATGGTGCACATTTGACAAGCATTTGGATTTCTGCATGTCACGTAAGAGAACTGTTGTAGCTGCTATGTAAAATAATTACACATTGTTCAAATTTCAGCATCTCACCATCTGATGTAATGTGGAAAAGATGGGATTTCACGTTCCTGTACACGTAAGATTTAGTTTAGATTGACAAAATGAGCCTTTCTAGGTGTTCTCTCATGGTAACTCCAATGTCCATCCGTCTGTTATGCTTGTCACTAGTACAGTTCAATGTTAAGTTTCTACACCCATTCCAAAATATGTAATATTTCTAACTTTTAAGATAAAATGTATATTTTATTTTTTTTTTCTATTTTTGCTGGAGACCATATTATCTTATTTTATTTTTAAATCTTTTTATTATTTTTTTCTCACTGAACAGAGGTCCAAAATGGAAACATTAGCACGGTATACCATATATGGAGACCGTATTATCAAAAGCCTTTGGCGTTGATATAATACAATTACATAAACTCAATGATATTAAGGGCTGATGAACTAAGAAATCAAAATTTCCTTGAGCTTTTGACATCTAAGAGGTCATGACATTATAAGAATATCCTGTAAGTTTCAGAACTGTGGGGCTCCTTCAATGTGGGGAACTATGACGTCAAAAAGGATAAAACACCACCCCAGCAGGAGAAGATCAACTCCTACTTCAACGTGGCCGGTTTAATCCCGCCCACAGATTAGCTGAATAACATAGATGTCTACCTCGTGATGACAAACCGGATTGAGCTACCGAGCAATACAGAATATTGGGCAGTGCCTGGTTGGAAGAAGATAGTCGCTGCATAAGCTTAATTCCTCTGGATTCCAATAGGACTTCATGGATAAACTTTATTTTCAATGATGTTCCAGCTGATGAGGGTAAAACATTGTCCGTCTGTTCGCTTCATTTCACTTCATTTCACAGGATTGTTTTGTCAACAAGACTGGATTTGCAGACCGATTAAGAGTAAAGAACGGTGCTGTGTCGTCTGGATCTGACAGGAATTGTGCAACACACGGACTCTGGGTCGAATATCATTCCGGTTGCCATTTTACAACATTGGACGTTTTCAAAACAATTTCCCCCAAGTGCATCAACGGGTGAGTTCAAACTCATTATAATATCCAAAACTGTTATCCATTCACAGCAGTGGGCGTTTACTTCCAAGTCTTCACTTAAAAACCGAGAGTTTTTAAGGAAGGCTCAAAACTTTGGTACACAATAGCCTATTACTTATTCATTTTGATGTTTTTGAATGCAAAAACCAAGTTGACCTCAGACAACAATATAATAAAATTTAAAAAGCCAGTTCATGACCCCTTTAAGTCTTTTTGAATGTGGTTTGGAGGTGATCTTAGTGGGGGTTTAAGTTTTAAGAGCTTGGATGTAACGGACTAAGATGGTAGTCTGACTTTTCTACATTAGAGCCACTGGTGTAAAACAGCTTATGAGGAACAGTTGTGTGATGAAACAAAAAGGGAGACAAGGGAGTGTTATAAATCAGTCAGAGGAAGAAGATGGGTTAAAAGAATCTGCTTGTAGAGAGATAATGGATGAGTATAAGAAAAGATGTATGAGGACTTTCAGAGACAAAGCACCTAGTGCTATAAAGCAAGGTAAATGGTAGGAGTGCTAAAAGCTTGATAACAACAATGGATGAAAATGGAGCAAGGATTTTGTAGATGGAAGTTAAAAGCATGATTGAGTTACTGTTGAAGGAAGAACCATAGACGGACTTCCTGAGAAATATTATCCTAGTAGCAGGATACATGAAAGGAAGTGGTGGAGCTGTTGTAAAGACAAACGTTTGCAGTGGAGAAAGATTTTTATTGTGACAATAGCAGGGAAAAGGTGCAGTAATGAATATCATATGTTCACTACTGAACTGCTTGACCACAGAGAGCATTTGTTGTGAATCATCAGTTTTGGAAACAATCCATGTCAAACAATTTTATAGTTGTCTTGTCGCACATTTTGATTTTCAGTCATGAATCGTGATCATCCAATGAATCGGATCTCTCACGCACATGTAATCACCCTTTCACGCGTTACAACACACACTTCATGCTCGTTTAACCAAATGAACATGGAGCCAGCCAGTCACAGACAAACAGTCATGCTCAGAATTAATGGCACCCCTGGTAAATATGATCAAAACTGGCTGTAAAAAATAAATCTGCATCGTTTATACTTTTGATCTTTCGTTCAAAAAACTTTCAAAAATCTAACATTTCATTGAAGTAAAAGAATTGAAAGTCGTGGGGAAATTACATTATAAAATAAATGTTTTTCTCCAAAACACATTGGCCACAATTATTCATACCCTTTTATTAAATACTTTTTGCAATCTCCTTTTGCCAAGATAACAGATCTGAGTCTCCTCCTATAATGCCTGAGTTTGGAGAACACCTGACCAGAGATCAGAGACCATTCCTCCATTCAGAATATCTCCAGATCCTGCAGATTCCCAGATCCATGTTGGTGCTTCTTCTCTTCAGTTCACTCCACTCATCAGGTCAGGACAATGATTTTGATGTTTGTTTTGGATTGTTGTCCTAATGGAAGATCCAACCAACGCCCCATTTGGGCAATATAGACACACTGTTCTCTTCCTGGCAGATTCGTAACATCTTTAGTTATTTGGAATTTCTTAATTATTGCCCTGATGGTCAAAATGGGGATTTTCAATTCTTTAGCTATATTTTCTTACAGCCACTTTCTATTTTGTGATGCTCAACAATCTTTTGATGCACACTAGAGCTATATTCTTTGGTTTTACTCATTGTGATGTATGATTAAGGGGATTTGGCCTTTTTGTTTCCTCATATTTAAACTGAACTGTGAAACAAGAAGTCATGGCTGGACATTTTCTTGTTCTTGTTGCTAAAAAAGGTAAACATTAAAGGGAATATATTTCAGAGATATTTTACTCGTAAAAAAAATCTAGGGGTACCAATAATTGTGGCCATTTGTTTCATAATGTGATGAAGTTAACATTATGAAAGTTATTACTTTTTCTACCCAGATCCGTGTCTGTGAAGCTTTTAAAACCTTTGAAAGTTTTTGGAAGAAAAAGTAAAGTCTTGTTGCGTCCATTGGGGTTATAAGAATTTCAATCAATTTATGTTATTTTATTTAAATATTTTTTATATTGAAAATCTACCTAATTGAAATCCAATTTTTACAATATACGAAACAATATATGTGGCAGTTTTTGGTGCTTTTGAATATATTTTCTCTTCATTAATAATTAGGCAATCTGATCCAATGGGCATGGAAAATGTATTTACACCCCTCCCTCAACAAATGAACCTCTTTATCCCATCTATAATATCTACTATTAATTATTATCTTTAATTCATTATTAATTTACCGTGTCTTCCTCAGTCATTTTTGCCCCACACAGCGACTGGGTTTTTTATTGTCTTCTATTTAATAAATTTAGCCAGAGTTCACATTATTGCTTTGTGCGGAATGTGTGTAGCCAACTGTATTTTTTTCATCTCTCTCCTACTTTCATGCCATT